GCGCAGAGGGAGACCGAGTCATTTTACATGGCAAACAGCCCTCGTTGTCAAAAGCATTGAAGCGAGGCGAAAAGCTCCAAACTCCTCGCGGAGCAGTGGAACATGACAGTATCATTGGGAAACGGGTCTGGGACACCGTACAATCTCGCAAAGGTCAATAACACCCACTTTTCGGTATTCCCTGGGCATATCACTAACATTTCCTATATATATAGGCCTGAATCTTCGAGTCAGCCTCCCAACGCTGGAAGAATACGTCGCCCTGACCCCTCGCTTGGTCACGCCGGTATGCGCATCACTCCTACGGATCAAACACGAAGATACATTGGACTCACGCTATCCCAGTAGATCTATCCACAGGATGCCAATTTGATTGCTTCCCTTCTCGACATTCATGTCAACACTCCCGCCGCGGGTGAAATACAACCCACCATGGAAATCCTCGAGTCCGGAACAGGCCATGGATCCTTGACCCTACACTTGGCGCGTGCCATTCACGCAGCCAATACCACCCCTCCGCCTCGTCCATCGCGATCCCAGATCAACTACCTAGAAGGCCGTGCTGTCAGGCCAAGCGAAAAGGATGTGGAACAAACAGAAGAGAAACCCGCCGAGTCAGTTGCGGATCCAGCACAGAAGGAATGGGATGCATGGCGAGCGCAGCGCAACGCCGTCATTCACACGGTCGACGTATCGCCGAAGTTCGCTGCGTTGGCTGAGAAAAACATCCGGGGATTCCGCCGTGGAATCTACGCAGGCAACACTGATTTCTATGTGGGCCCCGTCGAAAGCTGGATTGCTCAGCAGAAGCAGCTGCGGAAAAAGACTGGCTTGGCGTCACTGACTGGGGGAAACCCTGTCGATCCGTTCCTTTCACACGTTATTCTGGATATGCCTTCCTCAAACTTGAGGATCCCACATGTTACCCCGATGTTGAAGCGTGATGGCCTCCTAGTGGTGTTCATGCCTAGTATCACGCAGATTGGCGAATGCCTGCAACTGATCCGGGACCAGCGACTGCCCCTCGTTCAGGAGAAGGTGATCGAGCTTGGCTCTGGAATCAGCGGTGGCCGCACATGGGATGTGCGTTTTGCGACTAAAAAGTCCGGCGCCGACCCATCATCCTGGGCTACCCCTTCAGATGCTGAGATTTCCACTCCTGCTGAGGCTGACGAGCAGTCCACCGCCTCTGATACTGCTTCTGAGGTGTCCACCGCAGAGGAGCCCCCCAAGGAAGGAGAGTCTGTCTTAGTTTGCCGGCCCAAGGTCGGACTTCGTATCCAGGGCGGTGGCTTCGTGGCGGTCTGGCGGCGGATCGAAGACCGCTAAGTTCTCGGTCAACTGTCTGAAGCATATAAATCCTGTACTATATACCTGTATTCTACTGCATGTCTGATATAGACTGAGCCCATTTGTACCATATAGAGAATTGTGAGAATAATATTAGAGATATGCTTAAAAACATGTCAGAACAAGAAACAATCACTTCACAGCTTCGCTTTACCATCGGCCTCCACATCCTCATGAACGGCAGTGTCGATGCCACCTTCAACCTCGACAGGCTCTGCCTCAGTCTGAACAACCTTCCCCTTCGGCTCAGGCACCTTAGCCAAAATCCAAGTCTTCACATCCGCGAAGAACTTCTCTGTCGTCTCAGGCAACTCATCATGCAACTTATGATAAGCCCCCTCATAAGAACAAAACGTCACATCCCCACCCTTCTCGGTCAACACCTTAACAAAGTCCTTGGTCGCAGGATAACTAGTAATGAGATCGCCATCACCATGCCCAAACCAAAACGGCAGGTCACTCTTCACCCAAGCCCCATCCCCAGCCGCAAACATCCCCTCCAGCCAAATCCCGCGATCCAACATGCCAGCCAACCCCTCAAAAGTACCCGTATCGTGGCACAGGGTATCAGCCACGAACTCCTTGACGACATCTTTGTTACGGGACAGCAGATTCGCATCAAGCGGGGAATACCGCTGCTTATGGGGAATCAACTTTGCGACAAGTCGCCCCGCTGAGACGAGCAGCTTTGAGGGGCGGGAGGATGGATCTATGGCGATTAAAGGGGAGTACAGAAGCACGCCGGCGAACTTGGGCCGGGTGGATTTGTCACCGTTGTAAGGTGACTCTGGGTTAAAGATGTAGTTGAGGACTTGGCCGCCACCCATGCTGTGGCCCATTAGGAAGAGGGGCACGTCAGGGCGGGAGGGTAGACTTTGCAAGAAAGAGTGGATGTCTGAGAGGACTTGCGAGGTCGGGCCTGTGTTACCGCGGTCGCGGGATTTCTTGACACTGCGGCCCCAGCCTCTGGTTTTGGGTTGTTAGTGAAACAGGTCGGTTTCTTTGCGGGTGTTTATATTGATATACCAACATAGGGGTTGACCTTGGTGGTTTAGCACTTACCGTTGATCAAAAGACCTGACCTCAACACCTGCCGTCACTAGGGTTGGAAACAGATCGTGATAGGCATTGCCTAGTATGGGTTTAGGTCAATATTCTGTCTTGTGGATATGGACTGTCTTGGCTAACTTTTGCTCATAGACATCCATGGATAATAAACTCACAGTGATCACTGAAGCCATGGATAAAGGCCAGAACAGCAAGTGGAGACCCGCTGGTCTATAGAGTAGATCGCTTTGTTAGCTTTGGAAATCAATATGTTGGGGGTTGGGGTCCATCTCAGCTTATTCAGAGAGGGATCAAAACTGTGTTGCAAATTCAAACATACCTTCCATGTCTTAGCGTACAGCTCAAGGCCGTCTGGGAGAGTATGCACGCTTTCTTCTGTGCTCATTTCGACTGTTGATGCTTGTACAAGAGCTTGAGAGGTGGTTAGAAAAGAGACGAAGTGCACGTTTTAATATGGCTAGGCCACGGACCTCGGCAGGAATGGGCAGGAATGTCAAGCCAAGATACATACTAACGTGATTTAGATCCACCAAGTCCCAGCTTTTATACTAAACCCTATTTATGCAAAATGATATCCTAACATAATACGGAATAATTATTATACAAAAGTAAGATAAAAATAAGATAGAATTGATACAATGCCAGGAATATCAACCATATCCCATTTCCTAGACGTTAGCTGTAGATTCTGCGCCCCTTTTCTCTGGTAAAATTTGGCAGTAATCTGGGTCGACTGTGACTACCCTTTCCCCCCTTTTCTTTGAACTCATTTCTACTGAATTAAGTACATGATCGCACTGCCCCCGGAATCCCTGTAGTACCTTCAGACCTCGGGTTTTTCCCGAGGTTCGAATTTCAATGGGCAAGAGCCTCCAGGGATCCGCGGGTCGTTGGGTCCACTTCCTGGGATTTTATTGGTTCCTGTCATACTCGGTCTCGTCCAATCACATCTGATCAGTGACATACATCTCCAGGGCTACTATATCATCCCGAAATCACAGTCAATTTCTTAACTGTCTTACTTCTTTGTTTGTTTACCTTTTGACCTTGGGATCTATGCTATATTCCTTTATACAAAGAGTGCCCTCGACCCTAAGGCCAGCAATCTCACAATCTCTGCTGCGCCCCAAATATTCAAAAAGGATGTCCTCCACCGTTTCCCAAACAGTTGCAACCACCCACCAACCCGATGTCTCATATCGCTCTCTGGCATTGACCCCGAGTGAAGATAACCCAGATATACGCCAGAAGTATCGACCATTCATTCTTGACAACAATGCAACTGAGGACTGGGTCAACAATTTAGACCTGACCACCGCAGCGGACATGGCAGAACAAAACCTACGGGCTACAAACGAGAGGCTAAAAGTTTTGGTACTCTATGGCAGTCTTCGGAAAAGATCATATTCCCGACTGGTGGCATTGGAAGCTTCCCGTATTCTTTTCCGACTCGGCTGTGACGTACGCGTCTTTGACCCCGAGGGTCTTCCTATGAAGAACGAGAGTGATATCGCCCATCCTAAAGTACAGGAGCTCAGAGAACTCAGCGTGTGGAGTGATGGACATGTCTGGGTTTCCCCGGAACAGCACGGCAATCTGGTGAGTAATTTTTCGCCATAATTTAACATCTGCCGCATTATTTACTTATGATTTCCCTCAATGTTAGACCGCTGTGTTCAAAAATCAGATCGATTGGATTCCTCTGTCCACCGGAAGTGTCCGCCCCACCCAAGGCCGGACGCTGGCTATTGCCCAAGTGTGCGGTGGCTCCCAATCGTTCAATGCGGTCAACTCTTTGCGTATCCTTGGTCGGTGGATGCGTATGTTTACGATCCCGAATCAGTCTTCGATCCCCAAGGCATATACACAGTTCCCCGATGAAGGTCAACCGGGAGATCAACGACTCATGCCGAGTGGAAACCGGGATCGTCTGGTGGATTGCATGGAGGAGTTTGTGAAATATACGATTCTGATGCGGCCTCACATCGGTCTTTTTAGTGACCGGTTTAGTGAACGGGAGGAAAGGAAGATAAAGGAGGCGAAGCTACTTGCCGCGAAATCCAGTTGAAAGACATGGAATAATATAGAGAGTGCCATGCCAGAAAGACAACATATTCCTTGGCTATACATCGAAAGGTCCTTTGCACAAAGTATGCTTTTTACTGCCTTTTTTTTGGAGTTTAATGTACATAGAATTATCGATTTGCATATTTTAAGCTCTATCTATAGTACCAATGATAGGGAAATATATAGAACAAAGACAGCCAAAAGACCTTGAGAATGACTTCCAAAAGAGACGTCAGGCCGCATAAAAGATTATTTTTGTAGGGTATAATTGTACAACATAGTTCATTATCTCGAATGGCAACTCAACGATGCGTCTAGTTAATGCTTACATGTTATACGAAAATAAGGAAGTTATGTTCACATTGAAATATTTATTGGCACATTTCGGCCATCTAGTCAGTCAGTGACCAATCACACGAAGCGAGTGACATGCTACCACTGCTCTTGGTTACTATTTAGAATGACCTGAAGGCTCTGATCATATTCCATGATATTAAATCAACTTATATCTACAGATCACTTCTTACTCACCATCAGATCCTTTTATTCTAGTCCGCTATATCCTTATCAGCCCCAACCATGATCCCAGCATCGTAAAGTCGCCCGCGTGCCTTCCTCGACATGCAGCTTACCCTACTCACAGCACTGTAGCAGGCTCAATTTCGCGCCTCGAGCTCCTACGATGGTTTCAAGAGGGCAAGAGAATTGGGAAAGACTTTGTTTTAGTTGACCTACGTCGTACAGATTTTGAGGTATACACAGTCTTTCTTCTGTTGTCTGTTTACATATCTAACTTAATGCATAGGGAGGCACGATCCGGGGCTCTCTGAACCTCCCAGCACAGAGCTTGTATACTACTATTCCGACTCTGTATTCTATCATCTCTCAAGGCAGAATAGCTAATGTGGTGTGGTATTGTGGTCGGTGTAATTTGATTTTCTCATCAAAATTATCAATTGCTCACAAAAGAAGCAGGTTCTTCTCGAGTTCGTGGGGTGCGTGCTGCCAATTGGTTTGCAGAATACCTGGAAGAGCAAAAGAGCACAAAAATAAAGAGTCATGTGCTAGAAGGGGGTATTAAGGGATGGGCGGCAGCTGGTAAGGATTATACTCGGTTTATGGATGAGTATGATGAGTTGAAATGGGTGAAATAGCTATATTTATCATTGTTGTCAAGTCGCGTTCGAGTTCTTGTCGATCATTCGTGTGCGTGTGTAAGTAGTGATGCCAAGGAACAGTGACATACCACATTCGGTAAGTCGGGAGTCATAGCCATACGTCTGAGATAACCTCTAACTTTTGTGTAAATATCTCTCGCTTCCCTTCGTATGCATGTATAGGCTATTAGGAGTCGAACAATATTTAATAACCGAGGGAACCCCCACACGGAGACTTTGTTCCCCGCAGTTTCATGTTTATACTATCCAATGTCGCTTTCTTCCAACACCTCTCCACCCCCAGACGGTGGGTATGGCTGGGTGTGCGTGGCTGCATGCTTTTCTGTAAACTGCTTCACTTGGGGTGCAGTCTCTGTGCGTTGTATCTTCATCAATCATGTCAACGGCAACTCAGCTCATGTTCTAACAGTCATACGGCGTGTACTTGGCACACTATCTCTCGGACAACATATTCCCTGAGGCTACTCCCATGGACTTTGCACTAATTGGGGGTTTAAATTTCTCCATGGCGATGTTGGTAGCCCCTGCTGTTACAATCATCGCTCGCAAATACGGCACCAAGTTACCGATGTTGCTTGGTCTGGGCCTTTTGGCATCAGGATATGTCTCTGCATCCTTTTCGCAAAGAATATGGCAGCTCTATCTGTCACAGGGAGCTTTGCTTGGCTTTGGGGTTGGGTTTATCTACATACCGAGCATTCCAGTTCTCTCTCAGTGGTTTGATAAGAAAAGAAGTCTTGCCAACGGGATCAGTGCGGCCGGGTCAGGTATTGGTGGCTTGATTTTTTCGTTTATGGATGGTTCAATTATTCAGAAGATATCTCTTGCTTGGGCCCTACGATTGACAGCTATTATCAGTTGCTCAATACTGGTCATTGCCATTTTACTAATTCGAACTCGCAACGAAGCTATACAGCCGTCCCAGCGGGGATTTGACGTGAAACTCTTGCGTCGTTTAGACGTGCTTCTATTGCTATCATGGGCATTTCTTAGTATGCTTGGCTATATTTGTCTGCTATTTTCACTTCCGGATTATGCACGCTCCATTGGACTCTCTGACAACCAAGCTACAACTGTTAACGCAATCCTAAATTTGGGGACTGCTGTTGGTCGGCCACTAATTGGTGTTGCCAGCGATCGTTTTGGCAGGATCGAGGTCGCCGGCCTCTTGACTTGCTTTTGTGGCGTTACTTGCTTTGTCATTTGGCTTCCCTCGGCATTATATGGTGTACTTGTTCTCTTCGCTTTCATTAGTGGGGCTATTCTTGGGGTCTTTTGGGTTGTAAGTTGGTACAGTCTCTACTTATTTTACGTGATCGCCGAACTAATGTTCCTACTAGACCGTGGGACCTTTATGTGTTGAGGTCGCTGGGTTGGAGCAGCTCCAATCACTCCTCTCTTTGTCTTGGTTTTTTATTGTGCTCCCTACGACATGTAAGGACTTCACATACGGGCCTGGAGACGGTGAGCTAATATAATATTATAGTCTCCGAAGTTATAGCACTCAAACTACGCCGTCTAGGGTCCTACCAACCATATCGAAACGCCCAAGTATTCTGTGGTGTCTCTTACATTTGTGCTAGTATGGCTTTACTTTCTCTCTGGATGATTAAACGACGGAAAGTACAAACAGGGGTCTAGAAATAGATAGGTAAACCTAGTCAAATAGAGCTGACTTGGATGGTTAGTTAGGGTGGTTTATACTGAAACGCAAAGAGGCTTTCCACCACGTGGAACATTCGGCGCTTTACTTATGTATGCTCTTGTAGTATATCCGTTCAGATCATGGATACACCTTCTTAAGAGTTATTTCCCATTTGATGAAAAATGAATACACATATAGACCGCGCGACCCAACGACCTGTCGTTTCTATAAGCAATCGCAAATGCACTGAGCAGCAATAGATCAGTGAGCACTAATGTAGTAAAGTCTTGCAGAATTGAAGTCATATGCTTCTTCAATAGGAGCTTTGATACGATAATCGTTAGGGTCCCCGAAATCCAAACGTTCTCAAATCACGCTTCGATATTTTCCACACTTTCCAGGTGCTGTGCCGTCTCACCTTCTTTGGCATGCATGATGTGTTCATCGCGTGCTTGATATTTCTCAGGGCGCTTGCTAGATATTGCCTCTTTATCAAGGCAGACCAGAAGGGGAGGATTGCCGCGATAGTAGTCATCAATGTCCTCCAAAGTGCGACCAGCTGTCTCCGGGTAGAAGAGGTAAACGGTGGGCACCATCACCGCGTTCAGCACGATCCAAATGATATAAAATCGCCAACCGAGGTTTTGTATGCCGATGGGTGTAATTTCTACAACCATGAAATTAAAGATCCAATTTGTAGCAGCTCCCAGGGCAGCTCCCTTTGTCCGCATTGTGAGCGAGTTAATCTCAGTGGGATATACTATAGAGTCAGTCGGCGGACAAGGTTCACAGGTGGGAGGAGGGAGGCTAGAATCTTGAACTTACGCCATGGCACCCCCTGCATACCAATTCCAAAGAAAACGTAGTACAAGAAAAAGAATGCCACTGATGCTGACGCCACTTCGTGGCGATGTGGATATTCTGGCATCTCATTGTACCGAATAAGAGCCGTAATAAATACGTAGCAGAAACACATACCAGTAGCACCGAATATCATAAGCATACGCCGACCCCATCGCTCGACATTCGGAATGCCGATCATAGAGAAGCAAAGGTACTGGACGCTATTGCAAGCTGTGAGCAGCCTTGCTAACGTTTCACTCAACCCGACGGATTTAGTTAGCACAGTCGGCAGATAATAAGATGTCACATTGATTCCGGTAAACTGTTGCATCGCTTGGGCTCCCATACCCAAGATAAGGCGACGGACTGTTTTTGTGCCTGATTTTTCGTGGGCTCGCCCACGTAAAATATCGCTGAAGCTGACACTATTGGCTCGCTCGTACTCCACACTGTATTGTATCTCGCTCATTTGAAGTTGGACAAAAGCGTCGTTAATATCTTTGTCCTCGAGGTCTGAAATGATCTGAACAGCTTCGTTTGGACGGTCGTGGGCAATGAGCCATCTATAAAACGATTAATGGAAGGGTCCAACCAAAAGAGGACATGTTCATATATACCTTGGAGATTCCGGAAGCCATGGGACGGTGCAGAACAATATGATGTTAAAGATGAATTGGAAAGACAAGGGGAAGCGCCATGATACTGGGCCAGTAGCAAACGAGAGGCCGTAGTTCAGCCAATTGGCAAGAGAAAAGCCGACGAGTACGAGACAGTTTTCAAGGATAACCAATTTTCCTCGCCATTCGACCTTCGACGTTTCAACCTGCCAGATTGGTGCTGTTGAGGTATTGAGACCTGGAAAATAATTAGCCCTTATATAACTCAAAACTCATAGTGCTTGGACATACCATTGCCAATCCCGGCGACGATTCGACCCGTCATCATTTGACCCAGGCTATAGGAGGAGGCTTGCAGAAGGGCACCAATGGACATGATAGTTGTACCCACCAGAACGGTGTTTCTGCGTCCAAGCTGTTCACCGAGCCAGTAGGCAAGGAGGGAACCGAGACAGCAACCTATATCGTAAATGGCAGTCACAGTCCCCAGGAGTGTTGTATTGGTAGGCCCTTCGAGATTATGCAATCGAAGGAAGTCTTGGGAGATGATCACTCCACTAAAAACACCCTAGGTGATTGCGTTAGCCCTGCTTATCTGAGAGCTTTGTGAAGTTTGACAAACTTGGTCGTATCCATAAAGGGTCATGTCAGCACCACAGGCTAGTGTGATCCAGAAAGTGAGCCATCCGCCTCGGAGGCCAAAGTAGGGCTTTTCTGACTTCCACATTTTGAGCACGGGATAACTCCAATGCTTCTCGTAATCCACTTGGTTCGGACACCGTCGCTGCTATATATTTATATTCTCCATGTTTATATCCACATCTATTCTGTGGGGTTAAAGTAAAGTCCGGGGTCGAGCTTTAGCTTATCCCATTGTTCACTCCACGAGACAGGTTAGACTGCCCCCGAGACGGGTACCTATGACGCGGTTAATTACTCGGCAACATTCCGAAGAACCTCCTAAAGTTGTCAATTCCGGGGGTTTCGCGAATGTGGAGATTGCGGGGATTGCGGGGATAATAGATCAGGAGTGCCCCTATCGCTTTTTAATGTTGGTCAGGGTGAAAATATATTCGAGGTCACCTTCCCTCAGCCGAAGATCAATGTACCCCCGAGACGGGGGCAACATTAACATGCATAAGCCATGGTGGAATCATCTTTGGGTCTTGAGCACTGGTTTCGGAACTCTGAGTGGTTGATCACGTTTCATCCCTCAGTCCCCGTCACGGTCCCCTTCATACCAAAATAGAAAGGACTGAAGGTTAATCATGTCCAGCAATCCACTTCCGGCCTTCCAATATGGTCTAACGGATCTCAGGGACCTTATTGTTCTCTCCACATGGGCTCGTCTCGGAGAAGAAGTTACTTGACCTAGCAGGATGGTGGCTCGCTTCGTATATCTATCAGCCAATCCCATTTAAACGTAGATGGTTATCCTTCTTTGAAGTATATCCGTCTAATCCGAGCTTTTATCTTTTAATTTTTTTCAAATCTAGCGGACCGGGACTACCTTTGATCTACCTATATTGGATTCACCATGAGTGGCACAGATTCCATTGATCTTCCCCAATCGATGCGGGCTCTAGGTCAGCGGCACTTCCTGATGGATTGAGATCACAGTACATCAAACTAATCGAAGAATCGAAGTTGCAGAGTACAGCGAAGCTAGAAAATTCAGCATTGTTGAAAAAGCTCTTCCAAAACTCCGCGACCAGGACATCTTGGTAGGTCAATGAAGCAGACTAATTAAACTCCTCATTTCTAATCGTCTGCGAAGATAAAAGTAAAAGCCTCTGGGGTGTGCGGGACTGACCTGCACATCCACGACGGTGAATTTGGAGCTCGGGTAGGTCAAGTCACAATTCCGTATTTCTGATAATGTCTGATCACATATTCTAGTTCCCACTCGTCCCCGGTCACGAGACTGTGGGAGTAGTTGCAGCATTTGGTAAAGACGTCCAGGGCTTCACGATCGGAGACCGCGTGGTAGCTGATAACTCCGAGCTATGTGGACATTGCCACTATTGTCGTCGGGGCAAAGAACTGTTCTGCGATAACTTCATCGCGCATGGCGTTATGGTTGACGGAGGTTTTGCGGAATATGCCGCGTATCCAGCAAACCGCGTATTCACGTTCAAGAATCTGGGTGACGTGGATGCCACACTTTTGGAACCTGCGGCGTGTGCGGCGCATGGGTTGGACAAGATTGCCCCTAAGATGGGATCCAAGGTGCTTTTATTTGGTGCCGGTCCAACCGGACTAATGCTAGCTCAGATGCTTCGGGAAAATGGCGGGTGCCACACTGTCATTGCTGCACCGGGTGGATTGAAGATGGAGCTTGCCAAATCTCTTGGTGCTGCTGATGAGTACGTTGAGCTCCCGCGCGAGGTAAATGCCGCGGCGGATACAATGAAGAAACTCCAAATGGATAACCCATATGGATTCGATATTGTTGTGGAGGCTACTGGCAGCGCGAAGATCTTGGAGGATGCTATCCATTTGGTGACCAAAGGTGGCAAGCTAGTGGTATACGGTGTTTATAAGGACGATGATCGTGTCTCCCTATCGCCGAACATGATATTCAAAGAAGAGATAAATGTGCTTGGCTCCTTCAGTCAAACCCATAAATTCCCTGCTGCTATTGATTATCTTGGTAAGTGTCCAACTATTTCTACAATTGCCGATTACTGATGGTGAATTCATTGGGCAGATAGGAAGCGCGTTAAAGTTGATGGCATTGTTAACAAGACATTCAAACTGGAGGAGTGGCAGGCATGCCTTGATGCAATGAAGAATAAGTCAGTAATTAAGGCTGCCATAGTATTTGATTAGAGCGGTGCCGATTTGATCGGCTGTGAACTAGAATTTTATTAGTCCCTCTTCTATATTCTCTTCAATTACCGCGAAAGGCAAGGGTGAAACACCCATGATATACACCATTCCGACAAATCGGCCAGGGAGTTCAGGACCCGAGTCCTCGTCTCGCGGTCACTCCCGACGCCACTGACACGAGCCTACGAGGTATAAAAAGTATAAAAGTACTATTAATATTGACTTTTATGGCCTCGTAGAACTCCTCCGGGCTATACTCTTCTTAGATATAGTAGAAGGTGGTATAAAGAATAAACTGTACAGAGGACATTTTATACCTACCTATTGGCTATTAGGATCCGTACATATATATATTTACATGTTATACTAATTGATTAACTAACTAGAAGACCCGACCTTAACCTACGATAATGCTTAAAACCTATCAATGTAATATAATGTATCAATAATATGTATTTAACCCCCTAACAATATAAAATTCAAAATAATAACTAATCTAAACAGATCGGCCAAGCTCGGAGTTCAAAAAGTCCTAAACACAGGAGGTCGGGTTCCGCGGACCCCGGCGTCAGCCTGGCCTGTCAGTGTTTTTTTTGTACATCCAGCGCAGAGTCACAGCCATTCCTTCCAGGACCTTTTAAGGAAAAGATTAAGAGCAAAATGGCCTCATTTAATGGCTTAGAAATAACAACAGTAAGTCCACCCATCCCACTCTTACCCCAAAACCCCCATCTAACCCAAACAGGCCTCAATGATCGCCGCGCTAGCCAGCGAAGGCGCCATCCACCCAATGGATACAGTAATAACACGCATGCAATCCCCAATGTACAGCAGCGTCTACAAGCACATAAACGGCACACTCAGCCGCACCCTCTTCAGCGGGCTGTACCAAGGTTTCGGACCAACCTTTGTCGCTGGGACACTTTCATCAATGGCTTTCTTCACAGCATACGAAGCCTCAAAGACAGCATTCGATAACGCACAATCCGCTGGGTATATGCTTGGCGTCCCGCGGCCACTAATTCACGCTGCTAGCAGTGCTATCGCTGAAATTCTGGCTTGCGCTATCCAGAACCCGGCCGAGGTATTGAAGCAGAATGCCCAGGTTTACCAGCGGCCAGTTAATGCCAAACGGGGTCCATCTCCGACGATGGAGATGCTGCGTCAGTTTCGGAGATATCCTTCTGGGCTGTGGGCTGGGTATGGTGCGTTAGTGGCGAGTCAATTACCGAGTATGTGTCTTACGTTTTCTTTGTATGAGATGTTTAAGGAGGACTTGCTTGAGCGGTGGAAGACAGATAAAAATGATATTAGACAGCATCTTGAAGCGACTATTTTGGGTGCTGGTGCTGCGGGGGGGTTGTGCTTCTTGGTTCTTTGTTCCTATCCATGTGGTCAAGACGAGGATGAGGCTTGCAGCTGGTGAACAGACAGGCAGTACCCGGTCGAGTCTCAAGGGCACACCTGGTTTACCATCCCGTGTCGGGGCATTTGCTATTGCTCGAGATGTGCTGCGGAAGGAGGGGGTGGCTGGGTTGTTTCGGGGATCTACTTTGACCTGCGTGGCAGCGGTTGTGGGGAGTGGACTTTATATCGGGTGTTATGAGGGGGCTAAGATATACTTGTGCAATTATCAAGCCTCATAGTTGGCACGGCTGGAGATCATTCCAGGCCAAATGTATTATAGGACATGTATAATAGAATAGAATCACTCTCCTCCTTCTGTCGTCTTACAACAGACTGAAAAGCAGGAGTCGCCTATTGAAGTATAAAATGCGAAGGCACGCTTCCATCGTCAAATTACAAGGCGCCCATTCACTATAAAAGGTGCGCGCAGAACAGGGCATCAGGGACCAAGAGGTAACATCAGACGTATTAGCTCTCCAAAGGGTTACACCGAATGTCCTTTGGAGATGTTATGCTTATCGGTCTCTCCAAATCCCTAGCATATCCCACGTGCTACATGCACATACCTACTACGCCAGGTACACGATAGTCCGGGGAATCATGTGTGTATTACAGTGTCACGATAAACAAGTATATGCCCAATACTCCATGGCAAGGGTACCTTGGTCTACATTTACCAGTAATTCTACTGACTGTCTACAAAAGAACGCCGAAGACTGAAAATGAACAAAGCCATGCTCTATTCTTGATTGAGCCTCGCATAGGACGAAGGGCACAATAAACACGTACAAGGAACAGAGAAAACTCCCTTCGCCTGAGAAAAAGAAAACGACGAAAAGCAAACCTCGTCACGGGCAAAAAGCAGATACCCTTCACCACCTGTTCCGCCCGAACACCAATCCCCGATCCTAAGCGTCATGAAGCCGTCTCAGATGAGGTTAGAGATTGAGTGAAATGAAACCCAGATAAATCAGGAAACTTAAACGGAAGAAGACACAGGAGATGTAGAGCGTGAGGGTGAGGACAGAGAGGGGGAGATTTGGAGGGAAGAGAGATTGCCAGGGAGTAAATGGAGACTGGTCACGCCGTTTCACTACATCCAACGGACACGAGACAAGATCATCCATCGTTCGAGGAACATAAACCCCCGCTAGCAAATCAAGAGGATACAGAGGAGGATAAGCAAGAGGAAACGGAAGAAGGACGTTCATAAACAGGAGAGAAAACACAAGAAGGAAGAAAAAAGAAATACGTAAAGAAACACCATGAGACGGCTGGCTAGAGAGCCACCACCCAAAAAGATTCCGAAAGAACAAGCACGAAAGAAAGAAACTGAAACCGGTTGGAAAAACACCCCATCTCCGAAGATTTCAAATGCTCCATATCATCAGTGCCGTTGTGGGCCAAAGTCAGCCTCTACCACCTTACCCTTCTTGCCCTTTACCGTAAACTCCGCAAGCAACGCAACGTGATCACTAGGGAAGTGGAAATTCGGGAACCCGGGCACGCGGCGCAAATATTCCTTGTCCACTTCGCCGAGCAACGCCGACACATGAAGAGTGTTGGAAGAGTACCAAATATAGTCGAGAATGGCCGTGAAGTCGGAGGTGTAGTTGGTGAAGCTCAGCTCTCCCATGGAGGAGTAAGCTGACTTCAACTTGAAGGGATGTGTCATACCAACCCGGCTGAGGTTTCCGTAAAGTCGCTTCTCCAGATCGGGGTGGGCTTCGGGAAGTCGTCCAGTGGAGATCAAGTTGTAAGCTGCAGAGCCCGGCGAGGAGTTGAAATCACCGCACATGAGAACGGGGATCTGGTCACCACTGGTGTACTCCATCGATGGGGCAGGCTCCACCACGGGGGCGCTCTCTGAGCCACTTTCGGCCTCTGAGAAGCGGAATGCGGTCTTGTCTGTGCAGGCGGGCCATTTGGCGTAGTTATCTGAGAGTTTGGTAATCTCCTCCATCAGAATCGCAGTCTGGATGAGCTTAACGTCCTTGAAGGCTGGGTCCCAATACAGATGAGCGTTCACACTGATGAAGCGAGCACCGGTTTGCCTGTTTTCCAAGAAGATCACAACAGCGATGTGGTCCTTCTGCCACAGTCGGTTGTAGATATCATCTTGACCTTTAGCGTCGGGTCGACGAACGGCTGTCTGACCGAAGTTGATCAATTGCTTGTCCAATAGGATGTACTTGCTTCCCTTGAAGAATGTGGCACATCCATCGACCATCCGGGCGTCTTCCTCTTGCATGCCCATTGCACGACCACGTGGCCAGTAGACTCCCTTGTAGTCATTGTAGGCAAGCTGCTCTCGGAAGAAATTGTTGTAACTTCCCTGATCAACCTCCTGGAGGCAGACAATATCTGCATTGTGGGATCGTAATTCGTTAAGAATAAGCTCGCGGCGGAATTCCCAGGAAAGGACACGCGAGGGCACATAGCCGTAATGCGATTGGGTCGCAGAAGAGTCACACAGGGTGTTGTACGACAGTACGGTGATCTTTTCCGTATTACTGTTGGACGAGGTCGAAGTATCATCGAGGATCACCCAGTCACGATCAGGAGGAGGTAGGTGGACTGTAATGATGAAGTTAGCCAAAATAAATATCGCGCAAATATGCTCGAGAGCGGAAGAAGCAGTTGAAACGCACCTGGCATCTCTTCTTTCAGGTACTTGATGAGAGCCTTGGTTCCGTCCTTCATGATCTGAGATTTGAGGACATCATTCAGGGGGTTGCCCTCGATGCCCAATGTTTCCAACCGGTAAAGGTACCCCATTTCGTAAGGGAGAGTGCGGATGTTGTTATCGAAAAGAAGAAGCTTCTTCAAGTTTGAAAGCATACCAAGTTCTTCTGGCAGCTCCGTCAATTCATTCCCGGACAGATCCAGATGATTCAACTTCCGCAATTGTCCAATAGCCGGGGGCAGCACCTTCAACTTATTAGAGTTGAGGTACAGCTTCTCAATGAAGGCATAGTTGAACAGCGAGGTAGTCAAAGCGCGCAATCCTTGGCCGCCAAAGTCAAGCGCATTCCAACCCTGTCGGCTAGCTGGCTTTCCTGTAGATGCACCATTGCGCCCATCCGTCCCATTCTCTGTGTCAGTGTTGTTGGAGATGAGTTGGATTCCTTTCGTTTGTTGAGCAATGACGCGGGCATGGTAGTGGGGAGAAGTGGCTTGTCTCGATTCCGCCGCAAGCTGGAGCTGCTGTTGCCAATGCTCGTTCATTGATTCATCAAGATCGTCGTCCGCGGTCGGTACTCCGTTCTGCAAATGCGTGGATGTGAAATGAGAAGTTGTCGTAGCGGCCAGTGCGCCGCCGGGGAAATTGTGTTGATGAGTAAGGTTGTGGGTCGCTTGTGTGTGGTGGGCATGATGGTGCGGCTGTTGTGTGTGATGAGAGTGGTGGGTTTGCGACTGGAACTTGGGGATCGGCATGCCAAACCGCTGGTGGGCTTGACCGCCATTCATCATGACATGCTGACCTTGGTGGGTTTGGCCGTACATGTTGTTAAAAGGGCTGAGAGCAGCAGCCTGGTTGAGGGCAGGGGATCGAGAGGGGGAGGGGGTGTCGTTGTTGAATTTCAGTCGACCCGTCGGAGAATTGGTCCCGTTTCGAACGATGTGTCGCTGGTGAGGGTTCTGCTGTGCTTGAGCTTGGAAGTAGAACTGCCCGGCCCCAGGCTGCTGGAACCTGTAGGTACCATCTGCCATTTAACGTGGCAGACGAGACCGTGTTTTGTTTCCCTGGTGGAAAACCTGTTGGTTGGTGGGCGGCGCTAAGTCGAGTTGGGTCGAGGAGAGGAGAGGAGAGGATCGGAGACGGTCTCTTCTCTTCTTCCACATAGAGGCCTAAGGCAAAACCACGTGTATCAAACCACGATTGCAGGTCGGTGACTTTGGCACTGGGAGTATCTTGAGGTGTGCAATAGAGCGGTACCTAAGGGCGGAGATTGGGCGGAAGGGTCAAACAAAGGCGTGATTGGAAAAGTAAAAAGAGATCGAGTGATGGGGGAGTCGAAGAAAAACCAGTGGGGTAAGATTGACGTAGCAAAGATGAGCAAACCAGACGATTGTCTCCAGGTCGATGAGGACGTCTTGAGATGACACTGGTGGTTTGCAGCGAGGCGGGAGTCACGGGATCACGTGAATCGCCGCAAGGGCTTTGAGCTTGACTTGCCAAGACACGATTGATGTTTCTCAAATGTTTGATGTGTTTTTTTGAGGGGGGGCGAAAAAGTTTGAAATTGTTCATACATTCTTCATTTAGGGCGCACTTTCGCGTTACTTTTGCTATGGATGGAACTGTTTATATGAAAACCACAGCCACGTGGTCTACTTTGCCTGCCAAAACCATGGGCATACGCAACTGTCTTTGGCACGTTGAACCTGCATCGGATTTTGATTATGTCCAGACATCTTGTTTGAAGCTAGCCAACACTACGGGGGGTATATATGAAAGAAATCTGGGTTGTAGGGGGATATAACCAAGGGGTGCAGCAAAGAGGGAAATAGACCAGGACAGAAGATTCAAAGAATGAACAATGGTCTGATCTATTCTAAGCCTTCGCTAATAATATCTAATACCTTTCTAAATTTGAGTCTGGTCTTTAGATTTTGTTCTATGTACGGAGTGTTGGAGGAATCATAGAACCTTTGTGTCAAAGTAGTTCAGGGTCAGGTCAGCTTCCCCTTGGCATGAACTACTTGGGCGAGACAGAAAAGCCACTAAAGGGTCAATTCTTGCTCAGTTTCGCAAATTCCATATCATATGATTAGAAACAGAATGCAACCTTGGAACGCCGGTAAATTATATTATCTTACCATAGTAATCATTGGGAAAATGCCTTATAACACCATCTTGTAACATGGTATGTATTGATGTAGGAAGACTCACTATTAAATCACTATGAAATGATGTTAAATGATGTCTAGATACTCCGTAGAGGCCTTTCAAGATAATTCCAGTCGTCAAATGACGCATACTCCGTACACAGGTTCTGTTTAAGCCCTTGTGAATACGGAGTATAGAGATATGTACTCCGTACCCCGTATTCAAATGAGATGTATAGCTTCTGCGAGGTAGCACAGACCCAGCATACTCGCATATTCACATTCACAAAAAGGGATACCTCCAACGACTTAGATTGCAGCCACAACGGTCTCATGTACACAGTTGAACTTCATCTTACCGATCATATTTGCGTCTTACACTCCGCTTATTCCCGTGTCTTGAAAAACCAAACTAGGCCTAATCAAAAGTACGTGGCAGACGCTATTGTGTCGATCGAATTTTCGTATCATTCTGCAGGTACAGTCAAACCTCCATATAACGAATTAATTTTGGGAATCAAATTATTCGTTATAACCAGGGATCCGTTATATAGAATATACCATATATTAAATACTAAAATATGAACGAATGTCTCCCTGCTGGCGATTCTGGGCGATGCCCCCCCTGGATCTCCATCCTAAGCTTATTCAGAGTATGAATTAGCTTAATATCACCCTCCTCCTGTTGCTCCTGATAGAGCTGTAGCAGTTGCACGGCTTCAAGTGCACTAGCCGATGACACTTTAGGCATAACCTCAGGATCCTCTTCTTCCTCTTCATCATCAGGCGCCTGGAATTGAGCGAGGATTTGTAGGTCAATAGACTCGGAGCTATCGGTAACAATCTCCTCTTCAGGATTAAGAAAGTGCTGAATATCCATAGGGTTCTCGATAGCAGAGATAAATGAGAGCCTTTGTAAACCAGCCTCAATATCTAAGATCGTAGTATCCTCGGCTTGTATAGGAATCTCAGCACCACGAAGTGATAATCCTTTATTGAAACAATTACTAATGGTAGTAATCTTCAAATGAAACTCCTATGCAGCAATACCCCACCGGATCGCTTGGAGTATATCAACTGTAGATAACGGGTCCCGTCCAGCTTCATATTCATGAAGCATATACCGCACCCAGTCTCTTCGCCAATAGTGCTTCCACGTACGAATAATACCCTGATCAAGCGGTTGATATTCGCTAGTTGAATTTGGCGGAAGCCAGATAATCAGGGTATTTTGTAACGGTAAGGTTGAATTGATCTTATTGACTGCGTATATATAGGCCGAAAAATTGTCTAATAAAAGAATAACCTTACGGCCAGCCATCCGAAGATCAAACCACCGAAGCCATTCTTCCATAATTGAGCTCACCATCCAGGCCTTCTTATTAGCACGCCAATAAACCCCGAGGTTCTGGATATTGATATTGGTACGACGGATGGCGTGAGGTTTCTGAGCTTGTCCAATAAACCAGAGAGGCACTTTATCGGAGCCATCCATATTACAACAAAGATAGATTGTAACCCGGGCTTTCTCCCGCTTCCGGCCTAGGATTGTACGTGTAGATAGACTACGATCCGGGGTTAGCTTCCAAAGAAGCCCAGTCTCATCGCAATTATATATATCCCTTGGTTCGTAGTGGGCGATAGCTTGTCGGATAGACTGCATTTCAGCGGGTGCTGAGACTGAGCTATTTAGCTCGCCATGTTGTATACGGTGCGCGATCCCTCGGCGGGATTGAAATCCTTAAAACCAGCCATTGCTAAATGAAGGCATTAGTAGCCCTTGGTATTGGGGTATATTCATCCAGAAAAACTCTGCTTTCTCGCGGATCGTATATGACGAAATAGTGATTGTAGCCTCTGCACGTTGGATCCACTGGAAGAGGGCGTCTTCGAGCTCTGGCTAGAACTCCTGTCGGAAGCGTTTCTGGCTCTGGGTACGATTGATTGGGTTGTCAAGGTGGGTATATTTCGCAGAGAGGATTTCGGAGACCGAGGATGTTGAGATAACCTGCTGGTATTTGGCTTCGAACCAGCGCTTAAGCTCGATATTTGGAAAGGTAGGAAAGGCGCGCCGGTGCGCTCGTAGGGCTTGCTTTTGCTCGATAGAAATTGCTACACGGCGAGGCATATTGAATCTCGGAAACGATGACAAAGTGAGGTGCGCACAGGCCAGGTCGGCTGGGTATAACGGATTTTAGTATGGGGGGTAGCGAGAATTAACGAAGTTCGTAGAAAGGAGGTTATTCGTTATATATATGGGAAATCAATTTTGGGAAAATTTTTAATCCGTTATATAGAGGAATCCGTAATATAGAGGTTCGTTATATGGAGGGTTGACTGTACGTTTAATTTTAATACCGAGCGGAAAGGGCACGGATCACAGTGCAGACTAGGACGATCGCGTGGAATAGCCGATAGAATAGACAAGTGCGTGGGACTTAGCGTTACGGGGTAACTCCAAGGTATCAGATAGAGAGACAATGGCGAGCTAAGTCTCGGAGTTGTTGGGGGTCCAGACTGCGGATCCAATTATTAACTCACCTCCCCCTAATATGGATATGGCGGGTAAAGGATCCCCGACGGTTGTGTATCCAGTTTTACCGTTTAAATGATATGTACGGAGTAAATATGTAATACATATATGTACGGAGTACAGAGTACATGCATGTCTACTAGTTCTTCTTTACACAATTTGCTATACGTTTGGATGTACTCCGTATGCTTCTTATCAATCAGAAGAAAAAGGAGTGATACCTTATATTCCATACTCCATATATGATTATATGGATCTTAGAGGTCTGAAATTGTGTATCCAATATTCCCCATAAATTGCGAAAAAAAGCAATATGAACTATGCAATCTCATACATTAACTATAGTTTCTACCGCATTTGGTCACCATTTCCCTTTTCGGACATTGAGCCATGGCATTAAATAGAGTCATGATGTCAATGCCTATAAAAAAATCTATGGATATTAGAAATACTTCAACACCAAGGTCAAGGGTAAGACAGAATACATATTGACCCCAATACTGTTAACGGAGTAAAGTACTGTTACTGTTACCGTGAAGAGACTAAACTAGACTCGAGTGGATATTCTACTTCCAGGGGTCACCTCTGCTTTTTTTCTTCTCTTCTTCTCCCCCGTTTCTTCTTGACCTTCTCGAATAATTTACTCCGAAGGATCTACCTTGGACGCCAAACTAAAGGGTCATCTACAATTTCAATCTTTTTTTTTGATTGACGTTGAACAAGAATTTTCTTCAGCTCTGCGCCCGGCTGCACTAGGGATAATTTCCGAACCCGCTTTGATCCCCGTCACTTTTCCTGTTCGATTCTATTTTTTTTCCTATTCTATTTTAATTCCGATTTCCCTCGGAACTATCTTCTATTCGAAAAAAAAAGCCTAAGGAAAAATAAAACCAGGGAAAAAAAAGCATGCCTCGTTCATGAAAACTTCAATCTTGCGCCGAGAATGCGACCGAACCCACAACCCATCTTCAGAGCCATAGGGGACATCAACCGATATACTTGAGGAAAGCAATATGGACATGATGGCACTGGGCTTCTCAGCCACCGCTGCCTCCGGCTCCGACGTACACTCCAACCTAGGTTCGACACTGGCCGCAACCTCCTCCTCGTCCTTGAGTTCACTCACGGACTACTCAACATACCCCGTAATGCGCTATGGTGACCGCACCTACTTTCGCGACCCGGAGAACGTCTACCCTTTGCCCTGCGACCTACCCGAGATCCACCGCCAAAGCCTGCGCACGTTGATGCTGCTGCGCGTCCTCGGTGGCCCATTTTGCAACCCCCACTTAGCTAATCGGCCGCCCAAACGCGTCCTGGAGATCGCATGCGGGTCCGGGCTGTGGTCTGGTCTGTGCCACGAATATTTCGCCCGCAGGGGCCATCCCGACGTGGCCTTTGCCGGGATAGATGTTATCTCCATCGCGCCGGATCTGCGCAAGCAGGGTATGAACTGGCAATTCAAACGTCATGATCTACGCCGACCCCGCTTACCCTTCCCGGACGACTATTTTGATTTCGTGTTCATTAAAGATGCTGGCATGTGTCCTTCCAGTCCGGCGCAATCTGCATCGGGCTTGAGCGAGCCTCTGCGTGTGCTGAAGTCTGGGGGGATCCTGGAGGTGTGGGACTCGGATTGGAGCTTCCGTTCGCTCCTGCCCAATCCGGCTCCGGCTCGCAAGACAAACTCGAAAGAACAGGAGATCGCCGATGCAACGGCGACTTATACATTCTCCTCCGCCACGCCATTCACACGAGCGCAGAATAAGTTCGTGGTTGATTATAACTCCTGGGTGGAGAAGTCGTTCGACCGTCTGAAATTGACAGCGCTCCCGTGCGCAACGATCGGTCTATCCTTCAACTCCGAAGTGGACTTGTTAGAAAATGTCGACAGTCGCCGCGTCGCAATACCCCTGGGTGACTTGCGCTGGGAGCGAGACGGCCAAGGCAAGGATTCCAAGAACCGACCGCGAAAGGCCCTGACTCCAGAGCAAATCTCCATCCGGCGCACGGCTCTCCTCACCACAATTCAAATGATTGAAGGGCTAGAGCCAATATTGATGGAATCTAGCGGAAAGGGTCGGGATGAATGGGACCGATGGTGGGCTGCAATGACAGCCGACCTCTTGCAGAAAGGTGGACTCACCAGCGGCGAGTGCCTTGAAGTGAGCGCCTGGTGGGGTCAAAAAAATGAACCCCTTGAGTCAATTTGGAGTTCCGGTGGGCAAAAGTCAAGTAGCGACCATTCTGCACTTTGTATTGGTGATACCCCCAATTTTATTTCTGTCTTTCTGGGTTTCTAACATGCATATGATCTGAACATTTCTAGAGTGAAAGCCATTGGAATATTAGGCCTCACTTCCATATCGCTTTTTCAGCGTTCGGTACCGCTTCAAATAGTACCTGGGTTTTTTTATCCTGTCAGCTGCCATCAACGCAAAAATCTTGTGATGGAGGTCAAAATAGTTCTTGCATGATGCCATGATAATGAGGAGTGAATCTATTGCACAGTGTATCTAGCCAGACACTACCCCATTATGGGTGCAATGTATAGAGAGAATGACATGTACGAATGATTGCACTGTGCTTCCAAATGATTGTAATCCAGCAATATCGGCAGTAAAACGAGAATGGTCGATGCGACAATGAGATATAGAAGGTAGGGAAAGGAGGGACGTAGGGACAAGATCTTACAGCGCTTCCACTTCTGCATGAAACAATTAGCAACACATCGTTAACCGCAGCTGAGGGTTGCCGAGAGTCAGCAAACCCAGCAAAAAAGACAGCACTCACCTTTCTTCACAAACTCGGCCCTAGCTATTCCCTTGCGGATCTGCTCATCGTCGGTAATGTGAGCCTGGCTTGCAAATGCACGGTGTAGGCGATCCCGGAAATATTGATAGCCAAGAGGATACTCCCGTCCTAAGAACAGAAGCTCTGCATCTCGGGTTATTAGCATGGGACAGATGGCCAGCTTAAACCCGAAAGGAAGTTCCTGGGGAGTGTAAGTCGCTGCATGACACCATACCTTTGTAGACGTTAATGACCTGCCGGCGCAGCTCGAGATTTACCATTGTTGCTCCATCCAACGATGATTGTTCTAGTAGAGAGTTGATGGTGGTAGGGATGCGGTGCAATGAAGGTAGGCGGCTGAGAAGCTTCCAGGCTTCGGGTGTTATCGGTGACGTGCCTAGAGTTATCTGCTCCATAACATTACAAGGTTGCCATACGCTAGGTATGTACTACCTACTTCTGGGGTAATTTAGATATTTTGCTTTATATTTTCTATATTCATCTTATGTTCATTTTATATTCATTCTAAATTCACTTATGAAGCCAGAGTAAGACAATATTTTAAATAATATCAACACACCCCTATAGTCACGCGGGGTTCTAGCCGACCTGACCTCGGGATACTGGCCCAAGCTTCTGGTTATCGGTTATCGGACGAGCTGTCCACCTACAAAGTACAGCCTTGGGGGAACTGTCTCTCTCTCTACAACTACACAACATGTTTCCTCAGCCAGCTTTTCGAGTGCAGCTATCTGCCTCAATCTCTCTGTACTCAAATGGCACACGTCGTCTCTTCTCTGCGACTTCTACGGCCTTGGACGGCCAAAACATCCCCATCCCCGATTCGGTCTCAACTCCGATCAATCCACGATGGCTCACAATGACCAAGCGAAGGATTGGGAAGTGCATGATGTTTGGGATGAAGCCAGCTCAGATTGATGAGGGTGGCAAGATTTTGCAGCAATTGGCCAAGGAATGGCGGGAACTGATCGCTGGAAGTGAGGGATTCCTCACGGATAAGAAACGGCGCAGTCTGTATCGCCATAATGTGGTCTGGGGAGAACAGGTATGAGCTTGGGCTATATTGCTTAGTCTGTGATATGGATAAGAGTTATTAATGCTAGGTCTGCTTGTGGTGAATTAGGATATTATGGTGAGAACATTCGTGCCCCCTACCTGTCGCGCTAGCTGCATGGGCTATATTGGATTCTGGGCCAATGCTAACCTTGATAATAGGGTATGCTCTGTCCCTTTGCTTGGAATCTTCTCCTCGCCAATTCATAGATTATACCGTACTAACTAGTCCAAGGTCACGTCAACAACGTTACCTATGTTCGATACGCCGAAACAGCTCGTGTGAACTGGACGCGCAATATCGGCAACCATATCGATACCGCAAATAAAAAAGAGTGGATAAACATGCTTGGTAGTACGGGAATTGGACTCATCCTGAAGAGTATCAAGGTGGACTACAAATTTGTACTGTACCCCTGAGACCCAACCCCCAGACCGCTGGGACAGCAATTAGGTGGGCCTATTTACTAACTACCATGCAGCCCATGGAATCTCCCGACAAAATTACCGTCTATCAAAAGTTGATTCCAGACCCGTCTAGGCACCTTTCAGCCCAATCGGCATTCCGACTCGAAGTCATGATCTTGTCTGAAGCTCACCAACGCCCTGCTGCTCGTTGCTTCGAGGATATCGTCATATATGATTACAAAAAGAACCGCAAGACTGTCAATATCCCGCCATTTGTCATGGAGCAATTCGAGACCATGTGGAAGCAGCAAGAACAGGAGGAGGTGAACTGGAGACAGCGGATTGCTGATATTGAAAACCGAGTCCGGAATCTTGAGCTTGGAAGCTGGGATCGAGCTGATGCTGTGGAGGACAATGGATCTGCGTCGCAGTAATTAGAACTAAGCAGAAACATTGAAGAGTGGGTCGTATGCGGCTGCGGAGGTCCGTATTTCCTGGCCATTATTCCGGGCACTTGATTGATGGCCGCGGTTCTCTGCGCTTTGTACATACACATTTTGAGTCTCGAGTATGCCTAGCTGATAACATCTCGGATGAGGAGTGGAACATGGTCGTATTAACACCCGCAGCAGTGATGAACAGTAACTCAGTTCAAACATGATGGGCCAATTTGGCTTAAGACTTAACCCAAATGTAAGTAGTACAAGCTAGCAGCGGGCTCGAAGGTGTCGCATTATGTATACAGCTAGTTTGGTTTGACCCGTGATCAACAGCAGCCCTAATTCATGATTAGACTCTCTTGGCTGCTCCCCAGTGCCAACACTGAATTGAGCCGTTGTTTTGGGGGTTTATATTGTACAGGTATCAGCTGGCTGGGTGTACTATTGATTTTATTCATATCGCGAGAAACCGTTCGTCTAAGGCGCAGTCTACTGCATATACAACATGAGGGTTGCATCTCTACAAACAAAAGTAAGACAGTAAACCACCTTCCAACTCCACTGGTCAAACAACTCAAAGCTTCAACCTCTTTGCGATCTCAATCCCTTCCGCAATGGATCCCACCCGGGCGTCAATCGCATACCCTTCACTCTCCAACCTCTGCAGCTCAGCCGAAAGCTCCGACACCGGAATTGTGAAACACTCAATAAACTCATTATCTTCAAGATCAGGCTTTGGATTCTGATTTTCCGGAAGAGACATGTCAACTTGAACATAAACCATGTTGAAATTAGCATTGCAGAACCCGGGATCTGTATGTATACCAAATCAGCTAATATTCAGCAGTAAGACAAACAATGAGGCCACGAACCATTGTACATGATACCAGTAGATTTATCAGCAACACCGATATATCCAGTCTCTTCTTTCAGCTCTCGGACCGCAGTTTGCTCAATTGTCTCCCCTGCGTCGATCAATCCTGCAGGGAGTTCTATGACGACTTGGTCGATTGGAGGTCGGTATTGCTTCTCCAAAAGGATCTCAGAGCCACTCTTCTTATTCAGAAAAGCGACGATGTTGACTCCATCGACAGGGGAGTCCGTTGGTCTTGTCTACAATTTGATTAGGTTGTTAAAGTTAGATTTATATATAATCTCAAAATTCGTACCTGGCGCTCAGCGGACTCCCAGTCTCTTTTGACTCCGTTGGGATCGATGTAATTTGTTTTGACTAATCTTTTCCACTTGGCTTCTTCAGATGTCTAAAAATCATAAGTAGCTGAGAGTATAGTCGGGCTAGAATCACATACCAAGGGCTCTCGTGAGAGAAACGTAGACTTGAGTTGTGGCATTTTATGTATTGACCCTTCTGTTATTCAGAATAGGGATTGAATTGTGGATAACGGAACCTGAGTACTACCTAGGTAGATTCTAGGAATTCTCTTGATTGCAACCTTCCGAGACGGGAAGCCCTGGAGGTGCCTGCGGGCGGGACACAAGATGACTAAGGTGGTGCTGGCCCACCTGAAGAGAGGTTGACAGGCTTCAAGGTTGGGTTGCTATATTGTAGTAATCCGCTGAAATGATTCAACCGAAATCTGCATAGAAATAATACGGACAAACAATTATCCTGTGTGATATATTACCCAGTAACTGTCCATAGAGGCAGTTTACCCCTTTCTAGTACCACTCACCAATAATTTCGCTGCATCGCCCAATCACCACACCCTAGCAGGATTCTTAACTACCTACTGATATATCCGGGACCACCTTTTCTCGTTACGTTTATTTTGCGCTTGGTTCTTGACTTTGAAAGAAGCTCTCATCTTCGCTCTTATTCGCTTACTTGAACGCCAGCGTTGTTTAACATGAGTTCCGAATATCAGGAATACTCGGTCAATCAGGAGATTACCCATTTCCTCCAAAAGACCTTACAGACCGCTCGTTATGTGATGACCGAGCACATGAGCTCGTGGGAGGTACTGTGACCCCCGTTGCAGTGCAAGGCGTTTGCAGTTATTCTGTATACGCGGGCCCAAATCACGAGCATGTGGTTCAGTTCCGACTAAGGTCTCTTAGGCTGAAGACTGGAATTGCAAATATTGCCAGCAATTTATATGGATCCTTAGTGCCATCCGTATCTTATCACGGTCAGATTGGAGGCGATGATGTTAATGGAAAGGAACCTCTCTCTGTCTATGTGATGAGTCGGGTCAAAGGCATTAGTTATCTCGATATTATACTTGCGCATAATCTCCCAGAGAATTCGCCCGACTACTTTACCTGGAGACAGAATCCTATCTCCGACGTTGCTAGGTATGTTTAGAGTCGGCTATATAATGATATTGATCTGACCCGAAAATTCATAAATAAAGGCTCTTTGCTCTCACGTGGAAAAGCCTACTGAATGTGTACCGAACCTTTTATGAAAGTCTCTATCAAAGATACGACGAAGACCTACGGCGGCTCTTAGTTGCTCTACCTGATCGCTTCCACCCAATCATCCAACAATCGATCGATGCTCTACCTGCTATTTCTTTTTCGCTGTCTATGGTCCTTCTTCACAAGGATTTTGGTATGTGTAATGTCATGGTTGATACCGACAATAACCATCTAGTTGAGATTATTAACTAGGCCGAAGCGGAGATTAGTACTTTCGGAACGAACCTTCATTCTCTCCAGCAGTTTATGAGCAAATATCGCCTTGGTGTTGGCTGGGTTCGATATGGTAACTATGACGCTTTGAGCAGTATATTTTGGAATATCCTCTCCGTGGGCCCCAGGGGTCTTGAGGAGGTGACGATCCGAACGATAAATCTGCAATGATTGTCGGCCATTTACCTTCTCATGGATTTACGAGTCGCCTTGCCAATATGCCGAAGCCTGAGCCCATCCGCGACGATGAAAGCGGAGCTTATGAAAGGCTTGGTTTGGATATAGATTACTTATTGTTCCTGCTACGAAGCTTGTGGATTAGTTTTGGGGCATATTTAGTGTCACCAAATTCCTGCGAAGAGGCGCTCGTTCCAGTCGCGAGACAGCTGGGAACCACGTGGAAAAGCTTTCCCACCTTGTCTTTCCGATTTCGACCGCCTTATATCTAATTAAAAAAAAAAAAAAAAAAAAAAAAAGCTAGAAAGCAGAAAGGTAAACGAGTCTTCTACACTTGAGGAGGCGGCTATAAAACTTGTAGAGATTGACCGAGCTACATAAGTGGTGATATAGAGAAGACAGTATGGAAAGGAAAACATGGATTGAATTGGGCTATTAACTAGTAAGGAAGATTGATATAGGCAAGGAATAAGCCTTAGAAGGTCCTATCTACCTTAAGCAGAAAGGCTGATCCTACAGATGTATGTTGGTTGTAAGAATCGTCCTGACTGGTTTCAACCTTCCCAAGGTGGGTGGCCTGGGTAGCCCTGGAGATGCCTAGGTTGACAGCATTGACAGCATTGGAAGTGGTATCTTGCACTAATGGTTTCTTTTATAAACCCAACTATCGTTAAGTATTGGGTAAAGTAATTTGATAACGGCACCGACCAAGGTCCGCCAAAGAAATCTAATTGTGGTTCAATTTAAAGTTAACAGTATGCGGGGGATGGAATGTGAGCCTCGCGTCACTTTTCCCGTCGAAGTATAGAGCGTCTTCATATATTGTGAAGAATCTTATCTATCCCTTGTTCATTCCATGGTGGTTGTATGGTTTTCTTCATTAGTGGATGAATCCTTTCAGGTAACTTAAGCGGGTTTCGGGTATATGAGCCATATCTCTTTGATACATATCTGCTTTGAGATATACTATATAACCACACAGTATCCATGTGCATACCTGTGCACATAATATTTGCTCTCAGGTTCCTGGTGGTTCAGCCCTGGAGGGCATTTGGGGATACATACTAACTACATGCGGGCAGAGTAAACTCTAAAAATATTTGCCTCGTGAACCACAAAAGATTAACTTGATCAATTAATTGGACTATAAAGGCCCGAGGCAGGCATTCGTAGAAGTGAGAATATTAAACTCTTTGTACAAACCGAGCCATATTCGTAAGTATAGCTACTTTGTAATTATTACGGAGGCCCTGCCACACCAGGAGGTGAGAGCCGGAACCAGTGGGAAAAGCGAAAAGATCGACCTTAAAAAGCCGAAGTTTATCGGACCCAAGCAAAACCCGGTTCTAAAAGAGACTAGGGGGACACGCTAGTGGAAAGTGCCTGCAATTTCTCCAGAATTATGTACCTTATTTTTCCTGAAGTTTGAAGTGGCAACATGGACTTCAAAATTAAAATCCCAAAGCGATGGAAGAAGGTGTACAAAGGTACAAATAATAAGTGCTACAATGGTAGGGTTCACCGCATGCATAAAAATAACCTAAGCCATCACCAAGCCCGGCCGTCGGGCCGATCGTTACTAAGTTTGTGGCTGATCTACAAAAACCCTCCAGGGCTGCCAAGTCCCGGGAATCGTATTAGGAGGGGGAGGATCGGAATTGGCAAAGGCTGTACGCTGTACATTGTAATTGCATATATTTTCTAAATAATATCCTCTTTATAGTGTAGTAGATAGATATTGTGCTTCCATAGTCATATTCTCAAACATCGCCTTTTTCAAGATCTAGACCTATATTCGTACTCGTACAGCAAAACCTGTGCGGAGCCCTTTAGAAAGATGCACGAGATAGCCGAGCATGTGATGATCCCAGTAAGAATGTGGCCAATCCTGTTGATACACACAAGCTTAAAATCCCCCATACTTACTTTACTCCCCATGATGCTCTCCATGCTCGGGATTGCGTGTTCATGTCTACATGCGCATGCCTGCAAAAGCAAGTGTCCTAATGGGTAATAACCGCCATGATCCGAGGATTCGTAACACATATCATACAACATAAGCCCAGTGCAAGGATGACCCCGCAGCAGACGGGTCAAGAAACGGTCGATCGTCAATCCAGTTAGTCAGTTTGACAGCGAATCTTTCGGGGCCGATGATCTGAACAGGCTTCCAAGTTGATCTGTACATAGTCGGTTGTACTCCATGGTCGCTAGCTTATCAGCACTAGTCAACCCCGGTTTGGATGAAAGTCCGCATAGCGCCGAGGCAACGGAAACCACTCAGTATCGTAAAATTGCCTGGATAAAAGCGAAGAATCCGCGTTTGCAGGACTTGGCAACTGCAGCCGTTGTAGCTCCTAGGGGGCGTGACCTGTCAATAAATCCTGGAGTCTTCGTAAGATATGTTGTATGGTGTTCAGAGAACGAAATCTTGGCAGTGGGTTGGTCGTGCTGGATGGGATTTTCCATGCAGAAACTCTCCAGATCGACAAAGAAGCCACGGGAATATATTACCAGGAGCTCTCCAAAACTAAATTTGCAAACCTGCAGTCATCCAAGTACACAGTACCGAAATGAAATAGTGGCGGATAGTATTGAAGTTAGGTACCGCCTACCCGAAAAGCACCAGAGATCGACAGAAAATGACAATACCAATACCAATTCTGTTTCTTTTCGACCTCATACAATTCCACCTGGGCACTTTTTCCCCTTCACGCTTCCACGTAGAGCCTCGTCTCTTGTCCCTCTCTCTTTTTCTCTCTTTCTCTTTTTCCTTATACATTTACTTCCTTTTTCTTTTCCCCATCTTCATTATCATATCAGCCAACTCTACACCATTTCCTTTCCTCCCCCCACTATATTCAATTTTAGTTCGTTTTCGCCTTTTTCCTGGTCCCAGTCCTTGGCCTCATCCCGCCAAGCTGACTCGGACCTGGGTTTCGGGCTCCCTCGTCCATGACACGCTCCGCTGCATCTAGGAAGAACCAGAGCAATCGGCAAGAGAATGGCCTTGTCGGTCCCGGCAAGAAAGTAACCAAGCAAAAGTCGAGCGGCCATCTCAACGGCAATTCGGGCAACGGCTCTGCTACCGGTCCGGGCGCGTCTGCTCACTTCGATTTATCCGCCGTGCGGTCGACTAGCGATACGGCCGTGACATCTCCGACAGTTTCCGGCAAAGGGGGAGATAGCACCAAGGCAGATGGCAATGTGCGTGGGATGTTGAATGGACATAGCAAGGGTGGAGAAATGGCAGCCGCGCAAGAAAACGGCGATGTCGCCCAGAATGGTGGCATCGCAGGTCATGCCTCTCGCAACGGAACCTCGAAACGATCCGGATCCAATGCCTCGATTAACCCGCTCCAGCTCGCATCCACCATTCTCAAATCGTGCCCCATGTACGACACCATCGCCATCTTGATTTTTTTGCTACAGCTTCCACCAATGGTCTTGACTCTGGTGCAGTTTTTGTTCGCCTCTTTGACTTTCATGCCTCCGAGCGGCGCCGCGGCCGGTTCTTTGTCGTCGAACTTCGATATTTTTCAGGGTCCGGCTGGGACGCCATCTCTGGGGACGATGATTGCGATGGACGGCTTCTGCATACTTCTCTGGGGTCTCTTCATGTGGACATGGGCGCAAAACTTTGCCATCGATCTCGCTCATGTCCAGGTTGCTATCACATTGGGTGGCGGAGGCTCCGGGAAGAACGGTGGGGTCAATGCTCTATGTGTCGGAATTGTTCTGCTTCTTCATCTTGTTCGCAGTAAAGGCATCCAGGACTTTGTCTTGGGTCATCTCGTCTCTGCTAAACTGCTCAGTCCCGATCTCCTCTCCCAATATTCGCACCTGCTGCCCGCCGAGTTCCGACGGTCCGAAGCACAAACATCTCCGAGCTGGCTCCGCAGCCTTCTTGCAGTGCATATCCTAGCACAAGCTGGAACCGCCATGGCACGACGTTCGATGGCCAAGAATCGGTCACCGACCCCACTACGGACCGGCAAGCGGGGAGATATGGAGGCTTCTGCGGGGTCACAAGGACAAGCTGATTCTGCTCTGGAATCTGCTGCTAGTGTTTCGTCTTCTTTCGTGGGACCTGATGGTCAGCTGAAAGACGGAAAGGATCGCTTCACATCAGCCAAGAAACGCAGACGGCAGGCAAATCAAGTTCGGAGCCGACAGCCGTTCTGGGCTGCGCTTGCCAGTACAAAGGTCACGGTGATGAGGGAATATGAACATTCGCGGGCTGCCTCTAAAACAGCTCGCAATCTCACAATGACGGAGGAGGATTTGCAGGGTGTTTCTCTCGACGACGGGTTGATATGGATTACGGATGTGGATAGCTCTTCGATCAAATTCGCCGCAGGTGAATTTACCGATGACCCCGCTGTGTCGGGATCATTTGAAGCCGGCCGTTTGGGAGGAGACATGGAACCGTTCTACGTCTGCGTCAACGGTGCGCTCTGGGCTACGGCTTCGATATGCAGGGTTTCAGATGCCAAGGGACCGAGCGTTGTCCAATGGCGGGGCGAGATCGCTGGACTTGCCCCCAACTGCGCCTACACATGTGCATTTGTACGAAGCGATACCGACGAGGAAATCTGTGCCATGAGTGTCAAGACGCCTACGACGACTGACACAGAGCAAGGTAAGTCCACGTTAAATAACAACATTTCTTTTTCAATAAGCTCATCGCTTGAACAGTCATTTCCGCGGTATCGACACCCCCTCAACCGACCTACCGTCCATCATCGCCCACAACGACGCTCAAGAACTCTATCAGCAATGCGGAATCCAAGTTAAATGAAAAGCGCAACCGTTTGAAAAAGACGAAGAACGACCACAAAGCTGTTATCACGAAAATCCGGAAAGAACTCGAGAACTTCAACACCCGCCTCCAAAGCGGGGGTGACGAGAATCGCCAAAAGCAGCGTTCGCTTCAACTGGAACGAAACATTCGACAAACCGAGGAGGCCACTGCAGAGCTAGAGGTACAACTTGACACCATGGAAAGTGTCCCTGAGGAGGAGATGGAAGAGTGGTCAGCGCACAAAGCGGATTTCGAACGTGAGGTGGAGCGTTTCAATTCGACGAAGGAAGAGGTTACTGCTGCTCGGGCAGCTGCAGCTCAGCAGGTGGCGGCACTGGAGTTGGAATTGACTCAAGCTATCCAGAAGCGCGAGCGTCTCCAGGGCCGCCGCACCCGGGTGAACGAGCAGTATGAGCGTATCATCTCGGCCAATGCACAAGGGCTGAATGAGAGAGAACGTCGGGCTGCCGAACAATTTGCCAGAGAGCAGGACCAGTCAAAGATGGAGACCAATTTCCATGAGCAATTCGCGAGCATCAGCCAATCTGTACAGGATTTCCAGCTGCGCACCAGTCAACTCTGGCAACAGGCATCTGCAATTGAGCAGTCCATTCAGCAGCAACAACAGCAGATGCTCCTCGAGTCTGGTCCTCTCACCCCCGAAGGCAACTTGCCAGGCACCAATCCTTTGCCTGAGACCAGTGGTCCGTCGTTTAACGTATCTACGTCCAGTGCACCTAGCGCTCGGTCTCTGTTGGGTGGTCTCAGCTTCCCTGCGAGGTCTAGTCCACTACAGATTTCGTCTTCTCAAGTGTACGAAATGCCGTCAAATCCAACTAGCCCATCGCAGGACCTTCCCTTCCTCCCACAGTTTCCAACCTCTCCCGTCGGCAACGTGGGCTCATACTTCGGGTCGGAAATCAACCACCGAGACCGTTCGTTCTCCAATCGCTCCACTCGCAGCAGCCAATACGGCTCTGACTTCTTGGACACAAACCGCTTGCCACCTCTCCAGCTTGACCTGGCGGAATTGCTTGGTGAAACCAAGCTTCGCCCTGGGTCCGATGGAAATGGTTTTCTGCATCAAGGTGGCCGTCCGGTTTTGAGCCCTTTCCAGCGAGCAGTGAGTCGAGGTAGTGGCACTGGTAGTGGTAGTGGTGGTAGTGGCAGTGGAACCGGCAGTCCGCACTCGTCGCGAGACTAGTTCTCGTGGCGGTTGCCTCTGTGGTCTCATGCCTAGCCACGCTGTCAACCCGGTGCTCGATCTCAATTCCATGCTTGTCTTCCGAGAAGTAGCCTCAGGTTTTGTGCGTCTGTGCTTTTGGTTCTGTCCGGTTGGATTCCCGCATTGTGCTAGTCAATTTCTTTCTCATCGGCTTTCACCATGATGGCTCCTTGTTTATTGGGTCATTGCGGTTGTGTGGCATGCATCTCGCGATGAGATAGCAACTCTATGGATTCGATCGAAGTGAGGTACATGGCAGCTCTGTTCCTAACACCGAAAAACAAAAAGTGTTCTATACTCGGTTCTTGTATACTCTCTCTCTCTGTCTCTCTCTCTCGCACACACAAAAAGCGTAGACGCATCAATATCATGAAAGCATTTCTCATCTTCACCTTTCCAGATCTACTGTAAGATTATATAGTAGATAGGTCGTTGAAAGTGGTGATACCATATGTCTAATTAAAAGTCTATGTACAGCCCAAACGCCATATTCCCAAGTATATATATACAGTGCTTTGCTGGAAGGCCTAAGCGGTGAAGCCGGACAAGTCAGACAACTATGCCAACTCAAAGCTCGCCTCCCATCTTCCAAAACTTGGTATTTGCATATGCTAAGCAAAGCCGCTCGGGTGAATGTTCATCCAAGACCTTGTCATCCTGTCCCTGCGCCGAAACAGACCCAGAGCCCTCAATTGCCCGGACAACAGTACCAAGCACAATTGAGTGATCATGCACATCAATCCTATGCGGATGTAGAGTACATTCAAAAACGATAGGAAAGTCAACCCTATCATTCGTAGCAACTGCTTCCGCCCTCCGCTGAAGGATAGGAAGCGGTCTCTGAGGATGTCCCTCTTCGTTCTCAGTAGGCAAAGCCGCGAACTCAAACTCTCCATGTCCCTTCAACATAGCAGCGAGGGTGACATTTCCCTTAGAGAAATCCCTAGCTAGAGTAGCAGTTGCCTGGCCTGGTGCAAGCAAATGAACCAGAAACCGGCCCGAAGCAAGTAGCGCATTCAATGTCTCCGATGGGCGGCGCACATTAAAAGAGATCACAGGGTGTGGGGTGAGAGTGACGGTGCAGAAGGAGGAGACGGTCATACCGCGGAAGGAGGTTGTGTCTTCTGGACCGGAGGGATCGGTCGCTGTTATGATTGCGACAGGGTATGGAACTCGACGCATGAGGAGGCGGACTTGGTCAGATATAGATGTCGAGAGTGCTGGTGGTTGCGGTACGTTTCCTGCATGGGATGGGGTATTGGTCTTCCCTGTGCAATCATTTTCCTTTGAAGGGGCTGTAGCATTGCTGGTATATCGTCGTTGATCGCATCGTGATCGGTATTGGGTTTGGGTATATGGTACAGGCGGAGAGATTCGGAGGGAAGGAGATGTTCCCAGGAACCGGGGTGTATAGTTCTTAATGCATAGTAGTTCTAATTTTTCACGTCAGTACACTTGACAGAAGTACTTGGAAATACACCATAACAACGTACCTCCGAGTCCTGTCCGAGCAGTCCCATGCGCGACTGGAAAGAGGAGCTTCATCCCGCCGGCCTAGAATTGACGGAGCTTTGGAAGGCGCTCAGGGGATCACGCAGGACACAAATCACAGATATCCAGACACTGCCAATTCATGTCTAAATCCCCAGCGAAAAAGAAGAGGAACTGACAGAGACACAGGGCAATATGAAGTTATGCTCAACATCGAAGTTATGAAAAATCCCGAGAACAAGATCCGCTTACATAACCCGCGATAATTTCTCTGCTATAGCATCAACTTCACAAACCTCCGCAACCTCCCCGATAGCATTGCGACCCCGTCAACCTCTGCCCACCCGAACACTCCTCTTTATTATTTCCATCGGCATTGCCGAACCAACCACATCCATCATGTCAATGCACACCTCCCTCCGCCGCACCGCGGCCACAATTACCAACTCAACAACCACCATCCTCCCTACAAGACTCCCCACGCAAACAAGCGGCACAACCTTCGTCTGCTCTCAATGCCGACACGCAACTCTCCTCCGCCGCCCCAAGCGCCCTTACACCTTCACACAGCTCATCACGCTCTCGGACGGCAGCACCTTCACGCACCGCACGACCTCGCCGGCCCCAATCTACCGCTCCACGCGCGACACGCGCAACTCCCTCCTCTGGAACCCGTCCAGCAGCAAGCTGATGAACGTCGAGGAGGATGAGGCTGGTCGTCTCGCAGCTTTCCGTGCCAGATTCGGTCGCAGCTTTGATGCCAGCGCACCTGTCGATGAAGAGGCGGCTAAGGACCCCGTTGCTGCTAAGCAGGCGGAGGCGGAGGCGAAGGCTCAAGCTAAGGCGGACCAGGAGGAAGAGGATAACTTGCTCGATTTGATTAGTGCTTTCGGACAGAATGAGGCGCCGCCGCCGCCTGAGAAGAAGACTACTAAGTTCACGAAGAAATAGTGGGCTTTGTATTCACTAGATTGAATCAGAGTATCTGGTTTGAGTTGCTTGGATGGGAGTTGGGATCTTCTTTTTCTGTCTTCCTTTCGTTTTTTTTTCTTTTGTGTTTTGATCTTGTACAATATACATATGTCTGGTATGAGCCTGCTGTATTATACCAAGAATTCATCTTTTCTCTCATCCATGCTATACATTTGTCAAGACTATGCTAATGCCATGGGACTTTGACGTATCTGTTTCTCAAATCTTCCAAGATAGGGCAAATTCGATGATTTGCGATACAGCACCTGGTCCATCCTGGTCGTAGGTCTCCTACAGCTAGATATATACCTAACACAAACCAACGGACCCAAGACCCACGGCCTAGAGACCAAGAAAGGTAAAATCAAACACATTAGCATCCACTACCTTACCTCAGCAACAACACTCGACTGAGCCTACAAAGTACCAAGTTTTATGGACATCCCGCTACTTGATAAGAGAGTGGCTCTGTCGTGAGCCGGGGGGGGGAGGCTGCATATAATGACTAGGAGGATGGTTACAGCTCTTTTGGCGATAATGAGAACGATTATCCAATTACAGAAGATAACTAATATAAATTATCTTATATTTGAGGAATATTAAATGACGTGCTGAATATGATTGTTCAGTGGCAGATCTCCCTAATTACCCTCTTCCCCCGCTTAAACGTCCATTGGTTACTCGGCACTCTTGGCGCAAAACCTCGGACAATAACAAAATTGGTTGCAATCTTACCAAGGTCCTCTCCCAACTTTGGAGTTATCTACTCTTAGTCTAAGCTAATCTGCCGCAGCCCATCATGTGCCCCGCAGACCAAACCGTCGCAACGAACAATGACCACTTGGTCCAGTCGGAGGACCCCGAACACCCCGCCAACCTTATCCCCGAGCTCTGTCGCAAATTCTACAACTGGGGATGGGTTACCGGAACTGGAGGTGGTGTAAGCTTATACTTGCAAGGAAAAAAAATACAACGGTACCCCGCTGATGGAAATGTAGACCTCGATCCGCCAAGGTGATCACATCTTTATCGCGCCGTCTGGAGTCCAGAAGGAATTGATGCAACCCAACAACATCTTCGTGCTCCAATGGCCCACCCCCAAGTACCCTGCCTCGGACCGAAACTACATCCGCAAGCCTCTCAAGCTCAACCCCTCCGCCTGTACCCCGCTATTCCTGACTGCCTTTGAGCAAGGTGCTGGCTGCTGCATCCACACCCACTCGCAATGGGCGGTTCTAGTTACTCTGTTGGTGGAGCGGGAGAAGGGCCCTGATGCTTGCTTCGAGATCAGCAACATCGAGCAGATCAAGGGTATTCCCCGTGGCAAAGGAAAGGGCATGCTCGGATTCTTCGATACTTTGAAGATCCCCATTATTGAAAACACCGCGTTCGAAGAAGACCTCACTAGCGGTTTGGAGGCAGCCATGAACAAGTACCCAGACACATACGCGGTGCTTGTCCGCAGGCACGGAATGTAAGTGATAGGAGCCACACGATACTGATGCGGTATACTGATGCTGATTTCTTCTGCAGTTACGTCTGGGGTGATAACACTGCCAAGGCGAAGACTCAGTGTGAGAGTCTGGATTACATCTTCCAACTGGCGGTGGAAATGCACAAGCTGGGCCTCCCGTGGGTCAAATAGATACTGCGTGGTATTAATGACCTGTTTTATGCCGATGGTGATTGGAGCTGGGAAATCGTGGATAGAATAGACTACCCCGACATTACTATGTAAGAAGCTCCAATTGAAATGATGTGACGTATTGCGACATGGGACATTTAGAACAAGCTAGCAGGGGGCTGGGCAGAGATTATCAGGTATTAGCTGGCAATGAGTGAACTGTATTCAACATAAGTATAAATGAATAATATCCAGCTTACAAAAAGCAATGTCAATGGCAAAGTAGTTGAACAAGTCAGACGAGAAACACCACATGGGGCACTCCGGATCCCGTGAGTGACTAAGGATGCGGATCAGCCTCCACTCCAACCAGCTCCCTCTCCAACTCCATGCCGCATCCTCGAAGCTCCGATTGAACCATTAATATTAATTCGTTGATTTGTATTTTCGCCGTTATTCCCCTCCTTTCGCTTCAATCTCATACCGGTAACAATGGATCTCGACTCTGGAGATTCCCCATGGGGCGGTAGGCAGTCATGATACCACACAGCTCTTTGAATCGCGGTCTGATTTATGATGCAGATGAGCCTTCACAGTTCAAGCCTAGCGATGGCTCCTCCAAACCCAGCACTGAGGGAGGTGGTATGTTCTTATTTGGATTGCTCTTTCCACGACCTCTCACTAAGCGCACTCTACCATACAGCAGCTGCACAACCCCCCCGCGTCAGGCAGCTCACCCGCTGTCCGCGTACCAGGAAGAAGAGGCCCCCGAGGCACACGCAAGATCAGCGCACAAGCCACTAAACTCGAATCCGTCGATGATTCCGTTGACCCCCTCGGTCCATTGGGAGAAGCGCCGGCCGAGGCCACCCCAACACCCACAGACGAGGCACCAGCACCGCCCCAGAAGGAACCGTTCGCCGGACGTGGCGCGAGACCACTCTCATCACCCTCCCAGGCATCTGCCGGGGTGGGAGCAGTGGACTCGGGCAATGTGGAAGAGGAAAGCGCGGTCTTCCGAGGACCACCTCCTGTGCAACCGCCGGTGCAAGCGGATGGACCGCAAAGACAGACGCAGCCTAGTATGAGCGTGGAGCAGGCTGCGAAGCCCACTTTCCAGATCTATGTCGGAGATCCACACAAAGTGGGAGACCTGACAAGCAGTCATATTGTTTATCAAGTTTCGACGAAGGTAATTGGACTACATGGACATGAAACCTGCAGATTGGGGAAAAGAAGAAACTGACAGTAATTGGTATGGCTAGACAACATCCAAGGCCTATCGCCAACCCGAGTTCACTGTCAGCCGTCGATACCGTGATTTCCTCTGGCTCTACAACTCTTTGCACAGCAGTAACCCGGGAGTGGTTGTTGCGCCTCCGCCCGAGAAGCAAGCAGTTGGCCGCTTTGATACCAACTTTGTAGAGTCGAGGAGAGCTGCTTTGGAACGAATGCTTAACAAAATTGCCGGCCATCCTATTCTTCAACATGATGGCGATCTGAAAATCTTCCTTGAAAGTGAAGCTTTCACCGTTGATGTTAAGAATAAGGAAAACCGAGAGCCCGATATTGGCCCAAGCAAGGGGATGCTGAGCTCCTTTGGTATCTCCGTGGGTGGAGGAACCAAATTTGTGGAACACGACGATGTAAGTGAATCGTTTCTGATACAATGGCCTTGCCTGCTCACATGTAGATAGTGGTTCCACGACCGAAAAGTCTACTTGGATGCATTGGAGAACCAGCTGAAGGCTCTATTGAAATCAATGGATACCGTGGTCCTACAACGAAAGGGCCTGGCCGAGGCCGCAGGTGATTTTTCTAGCTCATTGCACGCCTTATCTGCCGTCGAATTGTCCCCCGCCCTCTCCTATCCATTGGAGGGCTTGTCAGAACTTCAATTGCGCATTCGGGAACTTTATGACCGACAGGCACAGCAGGATGTTCTGACACTTGGAATCACGATCGATGAATATATCCGCCTAATTGGAAGTGTCAAGATGGCTTTCACACAACGGCAAAAGGCTTTCCACACCTGGCATGCAGCAGAGTCCGACCTACAGAAGCGCAAGAATAACCAAGACAAGCTACTCCGCCAGGGAAAGACTCAGCAAGACCGCTTGAACCAAATCAACGCCGACGTCGCAGATGCAGAGCGCAAAGTCCACCAAACGCGGCTGCTCTTCGAGGATATGGGCCGGCTTATGCGAAACGAACTGCAATGGTTTGAGAAGGAGAAGGTGGAGGACTTCAAGTCCGGCGTGGAAACATTCCTTGAAAGCGCAGTCGAGGCTCAGAAAGAGGTAAATTCTTATCCACCTTTGCGGGTTTATCTCACCCAGCTAACTCCAAATACAGTTGATCGAACTCTGGGAGACATTCCTCCTGCGTTTAGATGCTGGTGAGGAAGGACTTCCGTATTACGTACCTCCCGAGACGAGCGATGCACCTGCTCCGACAGAGCCCGCAGCGTCAGGCCCGGAATCCGGGCTACTGGCCGCTGAGGATGACGCTTGATATCCCTCATCTGTAGTGTGCCTTTTTTCCACAACCCCGAAACTAGCACTGTTTTTATCTCGTCTTGGCTTGTATTCATTATGGGATAACCCTTTCTCAATGTTTGTTTATGCCATGCTGCAACTGATGATGATGCCTAGCAAGCTGAGAAGCTTTGCGTTTTTCTTCTATTTCCGCTTCACTCCGAATACCACTGTTCGCGTATTGTAGCACTGTCTGTTGTCCATAGCACATATCAATATCACTATGGTTTTCGAACTTGAGCTTTCCTTTACAGTGGATCTTAGGAATCTCTCATGGATGAATTCGTTTGCAAGACTGTGCTGTACTTAAGGTCTGTACACCGCCTTTGTGCCGTCTTATGGCTTATTGGTTGCTACCTATCTATTTCTCTATATAATACGGAGTACATATGTCAGGTATAGGTATTTTTGAATACTCTTGGCAGATGTCTTTCTAAACATCTTTCATCTACATATGAAGGCCGTAAAAGATTCTCGGCAAACTTGTATGAGTAGAAAAACGCAAACGGATTAAGCAGCAACTATTATTGAAATTTGATTATCACACATTCAGAGGACCTTAAGACGATTGCTCACACCTCCCACAAAAGGGAGGGGAGTCTGCTCGCAACTTCATAAGTGAAGTGGAGTCTTCATCGTAGGAGATACTCGCACCTCAATAAGAGAGGGGAGTTTACTCGCATCTCTATAAGTAGAGTGGTGTCTTCTCTCAAGTAGTGTCACTCGATGCTAGGCGAAGCCATTGGAAAAAGAAAGAAGAAAAAAAGAACAGAGTAGAGGGAGATTTAAATACCAGCATCATCGGTATCCATCTCCTCGCAATCAGAGTTAAGATTCATACGAATCTCGATGTCTTCATCCAGACCTTCTGTGATGGAGGGCACTCCTAAATCTAAAGTTAAAGTTCTGGCTAAAGACACGTCGTCAATTCAATACCTTATTCCGGCGAAGAAGCATACTAACTATGGAGAGAGGTCTACGTGGATGTCGAGGTGTATGGTGGGATGAGGTATGGGATTGAATAGTTGTAAAAGTTAAGTCATGGACTATAAGGTCCGACAGTAACATATATGTTTACGCAAGGAAGCAAGTCGTGTGTGGTGCAGTATTGCTAAACGAATAGCACGTAGGCTGCTAGTTCTTCCCACCATCGCGACACGACACCCTTTCTCTTAAATTTTCTCTTCATGCCAACCTCGATTTTGAGCAGCCTTCATATGAAACCATCAGCTACTTGCTTAAACTGCTACGTTCTTCAGATCCTGTATCGTGAGCACGCCATGTGACACTAACATCCAGTCATCAAACAGAAATATCCTGCATCATGGTCAAACAAATCGGGGCTAGAGAGGCAAGCCGCGAGTCCCTTCCTCCTCTGCGCGTAAGCCAATTCCACACGACATCCAGTGCCGTAGAAAGGCTTAGCTATCGGGGAGGATTGCACGATTGGTCCAATTTCTGTTGGGATGTGAGAAACACGACCGATATCCAGAACTGGAGCAACGCGGCCATCAAATACTCCTTGGCCTCACGCAATCTCGAAGAAAACGAAGTGTTTGTTGGAGATGAGAGTGGAGTGCAAGGACGTTTTCAACAAGCCATTGGCCAAATACTCGGAATGGTCTTCCGCGCACAGACACTCGATATACGGTTTGCCGATTTCAAGTGTCTAGGTAAGGCAACGACCATAATGCCTGACTGTATCATGAAAAAACTCGGGCAATGACTTACAGGTTGTCGGCAAGCTCAAAGTGCCTTGGGTGGATGACCACAGTATCCAACACTCCCGGGATGCAGGCCAACCCTTTGACCTTGGATCTCACCTTCGAATGTTGTTGGCCCAGCCTGTGCAATATATGAAGGATTTGAAATGCAAGTACGGTTTCCTCTCCACTTATGAGGAAACAATATTCCTTCGACAACGCCATGACAGTGCGAGATGGGTCATCGATTGCTCGCCAGTGATCTTTGCGTCCGATGCCTATACCGAATGGAACCCAGTCAACACGTCATCAACTGTGTCCCTAAGGGAATGTTTCTTCCATATCGCTACTCTGGCATTACCAGAGGGAGAGATCAACAACCAACAGCCGCGCTCAGAATGGGTCGACAGTTTGCAACAGGAGGATGATGGCAATTGAGAGACTCCACTTCATCTATGGAGATGCGAGTAAACTCCCCTCTATGTTTAGAGGTGCGAGTATCTCATATGACGGATAAGACTCCGCTTCACTTATGAAGATGCGAGCAGATTCCCCTCATTTGGAGGTGTGAGCAATCATCTCTTAGTAACGTTGGAAAGGCTCCTCTTCGGCAGCGAAAGGAATCGCGTATCCAACATGTTACTCCCCCTCCAGAGCTAACTAATACATACATGCTTAGATGTATGTCGGTATGTAAATATGTCTCAGCAGTACAAATCAATACTGCTATGGTTTTCAAACTCAATATTGCCGTTACGGTAAATAGTAGAACTATTTCTCCAATAGATTGGAGGTATATACTTGAATCATACGTACCCAGTGGAAGATTTTGCTGCCGAATTAAATATAATTAAATACAAGAATAATCGGCCACTCATGCCGCCTTGTCATGTCTTTTTGGTGGTATTTTTGAATAATCTTTTTAGATGTCTTGTAAGATGTCTGTTTAGGGGTATACGAAGGCAGTAAAAAAAGCACGCTTTGTAAGAAACGTACATATAACCTTTGAAATGTACCTTTCTGAATTTGAGAATTAAATCCTAGTATGGTCTTGAGAAGTATCCGTGGATGCCTGCCCTATAGATGATACATGCTTGCGTCGTGGATGCCTTAGGCACCGGCACTATGTCGGATTGGTCTGTATTGTAAATGTAGGGGTCCAATCAGTGGTATTCAACTCTCTGTATTTCTGTATCGGCTCTTGGTACAATTTATATGGAGCCATGATTACATAACATTAATTACAAAAATGTGTAGGATTAATAAATCCCCCGGTATGCCGGTCGTCATGCTCCGACACACTACTCGGGGAATCATATAGTTCTCCCTGGACCCTACCTTGAGTCTCTTTCCTCTCCAATCGACTTTGTTCCTTTTATCTCTGTGCTGCTTCAACACCGAAATCTCCAAACCAACAATACTAATTCGATTCCAACAGCGAAAATGATCGGCAACTCTCAGCTTTTTCTTCTTAGGCTCGAGGGCACTGAAGTCACCCTTCCCAGCTCCGACTCACTCAACATCCGCGGCGACACATGGGTGATTGATAAGAAGCTCAACGAAGTCTCTTGCATGACCACGCGCGAGGACCTTGACTCAGGTCGGACTGTGCCATCTTATACGATGGGAAAGTTCTTGTGCCACAGGGTGGGAGCCCTCGCCGAGTCCGCCTTTATGAGAATCTACTCCCAAGTCCCGATTGAAGATACCCAGTTCCTAAGCTCTGAAGTTCGAGCTCAACAAGCAGTTCCTTCTTACCAGCACAGTGAGATTATGGCATTGAAAAGGTTTAAGGAAGGTGGCTGCACAGTTGTGCCCGAGCTTCTTGGGTACAGCGAAACTGTTCAAGGCAAGGATGGACTCATGCCTAGAGGGTACATCACGTACCTCGTGTGGGACAAAGTCCCAGGGCAGTCGTTGTCAAGAGAACTCTTCTGGTCATTTAACAAACCCAAGCGAGATCTCATTCGTCGAAAGTTTCGAGTCGCTCATGAGTAAGTTCACAAAGTCCTCATTAATTATAGGTAAATCCAACACAAAAAATAGGGCTTTGACATCCTTCGGCTACCTGTCAATAATAAAAACCCCAGCTAAGCTTATTTGGGACCAGGGTTCCTCCCAGCTACACATCTCTGGGTTCTCGACAGCGATCAAAGTCGACCCTACCAAGGAATGGAATGATGACGTTTTCGCGATGTATCAGCTGGTGAAGCGACCCAAGATTGGCTGGGAGGATATCGCCCGATGGGAGAGGTGAGACGAGAGAAGACAAAAACACTGCGTGAGCATTTGAGAGAAGACTCCTCCTCAGTTATGAGATGCGAGAAAACTCCCCTCTATGTTTAGAGATGCGAGTATCTCTTACGATTAAGACTCCACTTCACTTATGAAGGCTGCGAGCAGATTCCTCTCCTTTTTTTTTAAAGGTGGAAGCGATCGTTTTAATGTCCTCTGAATGTGTGATAATCAAATTTCAGTATGAGTTGCTACTTAATATTTTTGCGTTCTTATACTCATACAAGCTTGTTAAGAGTCTTTTACGGCCTTTATATATATAACTATAGATGAAAGACATTCAAAAAGACATTCAAAAAGACATTTAAAAAGAGTATTCAAAAATACCACCAAAAAAGACATGACAAGGCGGCATAAATGGCCGACTATTCTTGTATTTAATTAGTCAGAAAAATCTTCTGGATACGTACGATTCATGTATATACCTCCGATCTAGTGAAGAAATGGTCAAGGTTACTCTATCGAGAGATACGAGTACATTAGATGCGAATAAGAGGGTAGTACATGTAAGCTAGCTTCCGCCCAGCCCTGGAGTTGATGTATGGATATCCGCCGATCAAGGAGGTATGGGGAAAAACATGAAATGTAAATAAAATATCAATAAAATGTAAATAAAACCAATGAATACCTATAGTCGTTATTATTTAAAGTAGAATAGCAAATAAAACAAATATTATCACATAAATTACCTTACCTAGGTACCGTACCTTTGCTTTTTTTAAGTTACGAGGACCAATTATGTGCTTGTAGAACAAGATCGAAACCCGTGTGTACACGCCCTAGTCCCGATTGGGGAGCTTAGGGAAGAGGCCACCTGGACCTTCCCCCAGTGCCCTTTCTATAAAACCATCTCCTCTTTTCTTCATTTTGGTGCTGTGCGCTCCACTTTCATTCCTCTTATTTGTTGTTTACAACATGCGCTTTAACACTGCATTGACATCGGCTCTGGTCTCCTCCGCTAGCCTCATGGGCTACGCCCATGCGGGAGGAGGAGACTGCGGATACCACCGTCATCGACCGGCCTGCCTTCACTGTATGCACCTGTAAACACACCCTCTCAATTCGCTCCTGCTAACTTCTTCAAAGCCCACTAGCCTCAAAGCTCCCTTCCTGGAGCAATTCACAGACGACTGGGAGTCTCGGTGGAAGCCTTCCCACGCGAAGAAGGACGACAAGTCCGAGGATGAGTGGGCTTACGTCGGTGAATGGGCAGTTGAGGAGCCCTCTGTCTTCAAGGGTATCGATGGCGACAAGGGTCTGGTCGTGAAGAACGCTGCTGCCCACCACGCCATCTCCGCCAAGTTCCCCAAGAAGATTGACAACAAGGGCAAGACATTGGTCGTGCAGTACGAGGTCAAGCCGCAGAGTGAGTCGCGACTATCTACATTTTCTCGCGTTTTTATGCGCTGACTAGAATTGTCCTGTGTTAGACTCCCTAGTTTGCGGCGGTGCCTACCTCAAGCTTCTCCAGGAGAACAAGAAGCTCCACCAGGAGGAGTTCTCCAACGGCACTCCCTATGTCATCATGTTCGGCCCTGACAAGTGCGGTGCCACTAACAAGGTCCACTTCATTTTCCGCCACAAGAACCCCAAGACCGGCGAGTACGAGGAGAAGCACCTTAAGACTCCCCCTGTGGCCCGCACCAACAAGGTCACCTCCCTCTACACCCTGATCGTCAACCCCGATCAGACCTTCGAGATCCTCATCAACGGTGACTCTGCCAAGAATGGCAGCCTCCTCGAGGACTTCAACCCTCCCGTCAACCCTGAGAAGGAGATTGATGACCCCAAGGACTCTAAGCCCGCCGACTGGGTCGATGAGGTTCAGATCGCCGACCCCGAAGCCACCAAGCCCGCCGACTGGGATGAAGAGGCTCCCTTCGAGATTGTCGATGAGGAGGCCACTCAGCCCGCCGACTGGTTGGAGGACGAGCCCGAGAGCATTCCTGACCCCGAGGCAGAGAAGCCCGAGGATTGGGATGACGAGGAGGATGGAGACTGGCTCGCTCCCACTGTTCCCAACCCCAAGTGTGCCGATGTCTCTGGCTGTGGCACCTGGACCCGTCCTTTGATTAAGAACCCCGAGTACAAGGGCAAGTGGGAGGCTCCTCTCATCGATAACCCTGCCTACAAGGGTGTTTGGGCTCCCCGTAAGATCAAGAACCCCGCCTTCTTCGAGGACAAGACTCCGTCCAACCTTGAGCCCATGGGCGCTATTGGCTTCGAGATCTGGACCATGCAGAATGACATTCTGTTTGATAACATCTACATTGGTCACTCCGTTGAGGATGCTGAGAAGCTCCGCCAGGAGACCTTCGATGTCAAGTTCCCCGTCGAGGAGGCCGAGGAAGAGGCTAGCAAGCCCAAGCCTGCGGTCAACGAGGAGGGTACCACCGTCACCTTCCAAGAGGATCCTGTTACCTTTGTCCGCCAGAAGGTCAACCACTTCGTTGATCTGGCTAAGGAGGACCCGATCAACGCTGCCAAGACCCTCCCTGAGGTGGCCGGTGGCCTGGGTGCGCTCCTCTTGACCATGATCCTCATCGTTGTGGGTGCCATTGGCGCTAGCAGCCCTGCCGCCCCGGCCGAGAAGAAGGGCAAGCAGCCCGCCGGTGCTCCCAAGGAGAAGAAGGAAGAGGCTGTCACCTCCTCCGCTGAGACCAGCAAGGGCGGTGCCACCAAGCGCACCACTCGATCCTCCGCCGAGTAAACGCGATAATTGGAAAACCAATTATTCGCAGAAAAGAATTTTACCCATAAACCCAATCAGCGACCAGATTTTGCATTTTAGTTTCCGCCATGATCCCCTTCTTGTTGTGTCTTGGCCGATGTAGTAGTCAGAAGGTTCATGAAGAACATTGATTGGAGGCCCGATTTGTATACTTGTCTCTATTTCTATTATTTCTACTCGGTATTCACTTTTTTATCTCTCGGAAGTAATTGCCTATCAGTAGTGTGATAACTAAGACGTTTTGTCCCCATACGACATAAAAACATAAAGTCAAGCTTGAAAGGGAAGTACTTTCCTAATTGATTTGATCCCTTGCCTACAACGTCTAGTACGCGATAGCCCGAAAAAGAACATAAGCGATTAAACGCGGGCTAACTACCTACTTAGTTAGTGTCGGCGATTCGAGAATGCCTTGTGAACTTGTCATTGGTTGAAAATACCGAGCAGGTACCTTATCTGGGGGGGAACTTCATTTGTACAACGTGGGGAATGTCGGTGACTAAGGCGCTTTCCCTCGGGCCTGGGGTAACCTTAGGTATATGATTCCCGAGGTCCTTTCGTCACCTACATTTCTCTTTCTACTTAATCTGTGGCTTGTCCTATCTCTGAATTCCATCTGAATTCCATCTGGATTCCATCTGTCACTCCCTCTCTTCAATTCATCATGGCTGCTTGTCGGTCGATTGCCCGTTCCATCCCCGCTCTCCGCGCAGTTCCCCGCACGGTGTCGGTAACTGCCAGAGCTGCTTCTTCCAGATCTCTCACTACCACTTCCCTCTCCAGTCTGGTCTCTCGTAGAGCAGCTGTGCCATACTCATCACTTTTTGCCACTCGCCGCTTACACGCAACAGCCCAGCGGCTCGTCCCCGCAACAACATCTGCCATCTCCACCCCTACTGAATACCCAACAAGCCACCAAAAGATCGCCAACCCAATTGACACCGCTAACTTCATTGATAATGAGTTTGTCTCATCCAAGGCATCCAAGTGGATTGATCTCCATGACCCTGCCACCAACAACCTAGTCACCCGTGTGCCCCAGAGCACAGATGCGGAGCTGAAGGCCGCTGTGGAGTCGGCCGAGAAGGCCTTCCCCGCTTGGAGAGCCACCAGCATCATGGCCCGCCAGCAGATTATTTTCAAGTTTACCAACCTCATTCGTACCCACTGGGACCGATTGGCCGCGTCTATCACCCTGGAGCAGGGTAAGACTTTCGCCGATGCCAAGGGTGATGTTCTCCGTGGCCTTCAGGTTGCTGAGACCGCCTGTGGTATCACCACCCAGATGACGGGTGAGGTCTTGGAGGTGGCGAAGGATATGGAGACAAGAAGCTACCGCTCGCCGCTCGGTGTTGTGGCCGCTATCTGCCCCTTCAGTAAGTAGTTCATGTCGACAAATTTCAATTCCTTCCATATAGATGCTAATTGTCACCCAGACTTCCCTGCCATGATTCCCCTTTGGTGTATTCCGGTCGCTACTGTTACTGGTAACTGCTTGGTTATGAAGCCATCGGAGCGGGACCCCGGTGCTGCGATGATCCTGGCGGAGCTTGCCAAGGAGGCCGGTTTCCCGCCGGGCGTGATTAACATCATCCATGGTACCGCTCCCACTGTTGACTTCATCCTTGATGAGCCTGCTATCAAGGCTATCAGCTTTGTTGGCAGCAACCGTGCTGGTGAATACATCTACAGCCGTGGCTCTGCCAACGGCAAGCGTGTGCAAGCCAACCTAGGCGCTAAGAACCATGCCGCCGTCCTACCCGACGCCAACAAGAACCAGGCTCTTAACGCCATAACCGGTGCTGCATTCGGCGCTGCTGGCCAGCGCTGTATGGCATTGAGCACCTGCGTTATGGTTGGTGAGACTAAGGAGTGGCTGCCTGAGATCGCCGAGCGGGCCAAGGCCCTGAACGTGAACGGTGGCTTTGAGGAGGGTGCTGACCTCGGCCCTGTGATCAGCCCCGAGAGCAAGAAGCGCATTGAGGACTTGATTGCTAGCGCCGAGGAAGAGGGTGCGACCATTCTTCTGGACGGCCGTGGCTTCAAGCCCGAGAACTACCCCAACGGTAACTTTGTAAGTTCCACTACAGAAAACGATCTACATCCGTGTAACTCGAACTAATTGTGTCCTCGCAGGTTGGCCCAACCATCATTACCAATGTCACCACCGATATGAAGTGTTACAAGGAGGAAATCTTCGGCCCCGTTCTCGTGTGTCTCAACGTTGAGACCCTTGACGATGCCATTGACGTGATCAACGCCAACGAATACGGCAACGGTGCCGCCATCTTCACACGCTCCGGCTCGACCGCCTCCAAGTTCCAGAAGGAGTGCGAGGCTGGCCAGCTCGGTATTAACGTGCCCATTCCCGTCCCTCTTCCCATGTTCTCTTTCACCGGTAACAAGAAGAGTATCGCCGGTGGTGGTGCCAGCACTTTCTACGGCAAGCCCGGCCTGCAGTTCTACACCCAGCAGAAGACTGTGACCAGTCTCTGGAAGAGTGAAGATGCAGTTAGCACCAAGGCTCACGTGGTGATGCCCACTCACTCTTAAATATCTTGGTATCTGCCTCTTTTCTTTCTTGATTTTGTTTTAGCCGATCACTCGCATGGTAAATTATTTTTAGTTGAACAAAACACGTCTCATGGATCTCAATGAATGTATCTGAACTATCTGAACCATATGTTTGCTTTTTTATGAATATGGACATGGATTACCAGATTGGACAGTGGATGATTGTAATGATATTGATTTTCGGAAATGGAACAATCTCAAAATCCCAGTTATTCATCATTCCGTGATCTTATAGAATGTCTATAGTCAAACTGAACACTTCCCCCACGTATGTATCAAAGGTTATGGGTATATAGGAAAGTCCCTTTCACAGTCTATACTTTCCCATCTTCGTATACATCTGAAGAGATATCTGAAGAGACATTTGAAGAGACATCTGAAGAGACATCTGAAACGACCACCCGAAAGACCATCCAAAAGACATGACAAGGCTATATAAGCGGCCGATTATTCTTGTTATCATCAATCAAAGTCAATTAGCCGGGTTTAATGCATGGGGGTCCTGGGAAAGGAGACAGTAACCGTGAGGAACTACCAAGAAGGTTTGAAACCCCTAGCTCAGACCAAGAGACTCAAACTAACTATAATGAAAGCGCCACCGCGGAAAATGCGGTGTCTGGGGCGCCCGCGGCCATCATACCCACGACCATTGGAAGTACAGTGGTGGAAACGGCGGGGCTCGCCAGTTATGAACATTAAGGTATGAAGCCATATATGCCTCTTAGTAGCAAGATTGAGATATTAATACTAACCAGTTAAAATAGGGATCGGTCTACGGAGGTGTTGCCGGTATAGGCAACGCGAGTAGCCACTCGGCCCGGTCCCATGCTACATCCCGGCACAATGCACGAGGTGGCACATGAGGAAGAGGAATAATAGCCCTGCGAACCCTCCAACAAGTTGGCAGAAGTGCCCTCCATCACAGAAGGTCCGGATGAAGACATCCAGATTCGTGGACCTTAACTCCGATGGAGAAGAAATGGACACTGGTAATATGGATGTTTGTCTCCTTCTACTCTGTTCATTTTACCCTTTTTTTTTTTTCCAATGGCTTCACAATTTAATTCATCATTTCACTTTCTACTTCATCATTATCTCGCTCTAACCCTAATCGTGGACATCAGTTCCATTAGACCCTACAGGCCTGCCTACCTATGTACATCGCCCTGGAGATATGATCACAAAGATGATTTAGTACAAGACTTCCCTAAACATGTAGTTTAACTAATTAAAATCAATTGGCCGGGTTAGATGTTATATTGATGTATGGTTTCTAGCAAGCTAAGAAACCGAAACCCAAGAAAAAAAAATACACGAGTAAGGACATTTACTCAGCCCTACGCTCCTTAAAAGCGTAAACAAGTCTAGCAGACGCAGCCTTCCCATTCTTAACAACAACCACCCGACGAGTATGACGTCTCTCACCATCAATAATCTCAAAGCCCCAAACCTGCTCCGCAGTCCACCCAGCGCTCTCATTGATCACAAAGCTCTGCAAGAACGCACCCTCACCTTCCTCAGCAAGGAAGCCCTCACTCTTCGATCCATCAATGAGAGTCTCTCCAGTAAGGAACTTCTGCACCTTAGCATCAGCGTCAGACGAGCCGACCTTAGTCTGGAACTCGATGACAGGACGCACAGCGCCGTCCTCACCCTTAGCGGCGGCGATGAGGCGCGAGCGACCCTTCAGCGTACCGAAGATGTGGTCGACGTGCTCGCGCTCATTCCAGTCAAGCTTGCGCTCTTCCTTGGTGCCTTGGATGCCACCTGTGATTACTTGCTGTGCGTCGACGTGGATGAGAGTGGGGTTCTCGCTGTCGGCGTACTGGTGCACGTTGACGGTCACTGTTGCGTAGGAGAGGGCCTTGCGTGTAACCCAACCGACACCTTGCTGTTTTGGTTTGTTAGTGGGGTTGTTGGAGGGGTTATATATGTAGGTTATGTATGGAATAGTGCAGGGTGGGGGATAAATAATAGTGTTATTGTGAATTTGTATGATTGGAGGGGGAAGTTGGGACAGGGGCTGTGAGAGGCTTGGCTGTTTTCTATTTAGGGTAACTTGGCGGAAAGGCCGGTTAGGGCTTGGGGGTTGCATACCAGAGAGAGAAGAGGGTCTGATGGGTTAGAGTGGGTTGAGTCCTGTTACACATGTGAATATTTCAATTTGACTTTGTTTTTTTCGGAGGTTTGGTTCGGCCTACCATCTCCCATTTTCCACTCAGGTTCTGGATAGTAACATCAGTAGGGGCGGCCATCTTGAAGGTTGATGTAGTTGTATAAGGTTGTATAGTAGAGGTTGAAGATGAAATGCGGGGATGGTGGGGGAAGTTGATGAGCAACGTAAGGGCGATTTGGTCAGTTGAAGAGAGACTTGGACTTCTAGGGGATACAAGAAGAAAAAGAGAGAAACCTCCAAGCGATGTCACCTAATATATAGTTGTTTTGGACAATCAATAGGCTTCATGGCCAATTGCGTCAATTGCATGTGTTTGTTCTCGAATCCGAGGCTAAGGTCACCTGACCTGCTGACTGTACATGTGATTCTGGAGAGTTCGGTGTTTACTATACTTTTGGAGCAACTACAATCCAATCATGTCTTTCAATAAGAAATATGCCGGTCTTCCTGATCTAGTGAGAACTGCCGGCTGTTAATATCCACTAGAATTCCCACTAACTGTGACCTAGGACCCATCCCCGGATATCTATGAAACCCCCGACTTGACCGACGAAGCATCCACCTTGCCCGTGAGTCCGCCAATTCCATACCAACGAGACGTCATTGGGCCTAATCACTGATGCTGTCTAGACTGCCACTATCCGGACAGACTCCGACCATGATGATGCAGGCTCAAACTCCGACATTGACCGCGAGGGTGTCAACCCGGACCAGGCGCGTATGCACTTCATGGGCGCGGCCGTGGACGCCCGCGACGTCAATTTCTCAGATAGCATTTCCATGAAGCGCCAGGCTTACCGGAGCAAGAGCATGAGCCGCCGTCGCCGGCGGAGACGCGAGGACGGGGTAGAGGAGGTTGGCGATCTGAGTGACAGCGAGGACGAGTCGCTTGACCGGAGACTTGCGCGCCTGCGGAGGGAGGTCGAAGAACTCAAGGTGGAAATGGCCAACAAAACCGAGGGAACAGAGACTGGAAATGGATCGCAGGGTGCTGCCGCAGCTGAAAAGTCAGGAGAGAACCTGGGCGATGGCGTTGCGGAGTTGAGCCGCGCTCTGGACAATCTGCATGCTTCACGAGGTGCGGCGAGTTCATCGCACTCAGCTGCGGCTTTGCTGTCCCAGAAGCTTGGATCCGAGACTCGCTCTGCTACAGATGCAAAGACACCATCCTCGGCCGATGCGTCAAAGGCAGTCGTCTCCACTGTGCCAGCTCCAGCTGCCTCTTCGGCAGGAATCCTCTCTCATGCGGCAGCATTCGACAGCCGCCTAGCGCTTCTTGAAAGCTCCATTGGTATCTCAAGTGCTTCCAATCCCTTCGTCGTCGACGGCATCAACGAGTCAACATCCCATCCAGTCCTCCCCGCTCTGGACCAGCTCACCTCCCGCCTCTCAGCATTGACCGGACTTCTTGTCGGCACGAACCCAGCATCCGCAACGCCAGGAGTAGCCAATCCCGCACCAGGAATGACAACCCCACACCTGGAAGCTCTCTCCACACGAGTCCGAAAGTTGACCACGGACGCCGAGGCACTCACTGCAGCCCGTAGAAAAGCCTTTGAAGCCGCAAAGGCCGTCCACAATGCCCGTCTAGCAAGTTCTGACGCCGACGTCGTCCCCGCACTAGAAGCATCAACCGACGACGACCACGCTGCCAAGATCCAAGCCCTTTACACAACCCTCCCAACCATCCAGTCCCTGCACCCTCTGCTTCCCAGCGTCCTCGAGCGTCTGCGCTCTCTGCGCGCCTGCCACGCCGGCGCAGCCCACGCCGCGGACTCGCTCAACGAGCTCGAAAAGCGCCATGCCGAGATGGCATCGGAGATCGAGCAGTGGCGTGACGGTCTGGCAACCGTCGAAGAGAAGATGCAGCAGGGTGAAGCTGCTCTGCGCTCTAATGTGGAAACTGTCGAGCCCTGGGTGCGTGACTTGGAGTCTCGTCTCGCGCGTTTGGAAGGTCCCGCAGCATTGTAATCCATTTCTTGTGTCTACCCTTTTTTTGATCTGCTCTGCCTTGGGCAGAGGTTTGATGAATAATACCCAGTTTGCATGTACATCGAATGTTTGAGGGCATGTTGTAGTTATCTTCAATTGTTAATATGAGTTCTATATCAGGTGGCCCTGGTTTTTTTTCCCATATAACATCTTACTTCATTGTAACGTAAGTGTAAAGACATTAAACAGACTAGAAAATAACACTTCTATATCTTTACTAAAGATTAAGTCCCTACCTCACGCGTTTCAACACCTGAACCCTCGGCCTCATCTTAATCTCAACCCACCACCCACGCAACACAGTCTTTCTTACATACTCGCGCAAACTCTCAAACAAATCAACAGTACGGTCACCCGCAACAGCACCAATAACACGTCTTTCAGCAGTTCCGCTAGCAGGAATTCCCGGTCTCAAAACCGAAATCCCCGCAAAAGAATCCACAACAAGCATCCTCTCCCAGTCCGAAGTAGGGAGCGCACGTCGGAGACTCGTCTCATCAGCATCCATGAACTCCACCTCGTAATCCGCCTCAACAACGACATACTCAAACCGGTCCCAGAACCCACTAGTAGATTTAATGTCCTTATCTTCAGTTTTGTCATATACCCACCCCGACGAAGGAGATTGTTGCAAGAAGCGCGTTACACCCGTTTGGCAGGCGAGGTTACCCAAGTAAACATTGATAGGAGCATTGATCTTCCCAGAATCCAAGTCCGTCTCATGGAGGATCGAGTGTTGAATATGCATAGCATCGATCGCCTGACCACCGGGGTAATTCGCCGCGGAGGCGGGAAGGAGCACAAAATTCGACAGACAGAACACGACGAGCGTGGAGATGACCATAGCATGAGTCGCCAGACGAGCGAAGAGCGAGCGCGAGCGATGCGTCCAGAGATACGCGGCGCCGAGGGCTGCTACTGCCGTAAGAGATGGGATGATGTAAACGATGAAACGCCATTCCTTGTGTGGCTGGAAGCTGTAGAGTGCGACGAAGGAAAGCGCCGGGATTAGAAGTGCCAGGGCCTGGGATCGCGTTGCTGGTTGGCGTAGGGCGACTGGGATGGCGAGGAGGTAGGAGAGGGGATTGAAGAGGAGACGGGGGAGGGAGTTTAGGAAGTAGAATTGCCATGGTTCTGTGCCCCATTCTGAGGATTGGCCTGCTAGCACGTTGAAGCGGAAGGCTTCGAATTCCGGCCAGAGGGGGAAGGTTTGCCAGAATGTGCTGTCGAGGTAGACTGTCAGGGTTAGGCCGGTTGTTAGGCCTATTAGGCCTGCGATGATGGTGTGTGTGAGGTTGATTCGTCTTGTTGCTAGGAGGAAGAGAGTCTGTGTTCCGACTAGGAGGGCTAGTTCGGAGCGGAAGACTACGCCTGCGGTTGTGAGGAGGGCTAGTGCAAGGCTGTATTGCTTTTGGTCTTGTACCCTTGAACGAGGATTTGGGAGGAGTAGACACATTGCTAGTGTTGTGATGCTGAAGGCGAACATGTTTGATAATGGCCTTGAGGCGTAGAATATCAAGTGGAACTGGCTTGCTTGGAGTAGGATATACCAGATAGCTGCTGGCTGGCCGAAGCTACGGCGCAGGCCTCTTGCGTAAACTGTTAGAGAGAAGGCATTGACTAAGCCCAGGATAGCTCGCGCTGGATGTCGGTGTTAGCTTGGTTGGACATATATAGCAGTATACATCCACGTTG